TCTAGTTTAAACATGTAAATGGACTGTATCTGATACACAGGATCAACATCAGCAAACTGCACAGGAATCAACTTCATGCTCATTTATCTTCAGATCTCTTTATGAATTTGAATATTTAACATTGATAAAACTTAGTTCAAGAGATCAAATGAGTTATTTAACACAAATCTAATGGAATTTACAGAATAATCTCAAATATCAGTAATCTCAAATTGTGCGATTCGTTGAGATCAACCCTATGAGCGATTACGCCGTTCATGGTGAACCGGTCTGCTCGGGTAGGCTAGGTTTTATATAGTCACACTGTGTTGAGGAAGTGCTGTGTCGTCCAGTCGTTCGTCTCGCACTGATAGTTCACACGGTTGTATCCAGTTAAAGTCTTCAGTGTAACTGTACACACACGTCCTCCGTCAGCTCGTGTCTTTCTGTGTCAAATCTGCTCTGATTTATCAAGGAAACGCTAGAATAACTTTGATATTGTTAGAAATATTTCAAGATGAACACTTATTGAAGCAGCTTCACTTATCATCCTTTATTACTGTAGAAAAATCATGAATGTCAAATATGATCATCAGGAAGGTTTTAGGAAGGTGTATTTGTTCATCCCTCAATCATCATTATAACGCTTTAAATCTACAGAGCTTTGATCGAAACTAAGCATTTAAATATCATCTTACAAAGGCTTATTATTGGCAGATATAGTTATATTTGGTTTTATGTCAGTATCTGCTGTACTGTTATAAAGATCTCATTGATTTACGTTACAAGTATCTGGGGCTGAACGTTTCCAAAACATCCTGGAACATTTTCGAAGACTCTGGAGAGTTTGCAATCAGACGTACATCTCACTTTTTCTCCAGATAAATCAGGTAAATCAATGTCTGCCCAAAATTGCATATTTTTGCTCAGTTTGTGCCTCTAAATAAAACTGAGCCGTTTTATCCCCTCTGAATTCTCACTATATGACACATAAAAGCCTGATGTATAACTATAACCAAAAAAAACATGCAAACTTTATTTCGTCTAAAGGGTTCAATAAAGTGCTCCACCGGGAAAAGGAAAAACAGCATTTCTCTGTCAGGACGGGGATACGGGGCTGAGGTAGGAGAAGCCTAAGGTTGGGTATCGTTTGAATTTAAACGATTCTGATTCCGATTCCGATTCCTTGTTTCGATTCCGGTTCCTAACGATTCTCGATTCCGATTCTTTTAAGAGGCAGGGTCAAAAAAAGTTTAGCGAATCAACGGCCTTTCTGAAGGAAATACTCCTGTAAAAATACTCCTTTTGTCACAAATTTTGCATTTTGCCGAGATTTCGTTATTTTTGGAAAAGTGAAGCCACACTTTGGATCGCCGACGTAAGGTACTCATGTTCGACTCGCGCGGTTATACCAACACTTCCGGTAGACGCTTCTTCGTTGGTGTTGTTCAGCGGTTTCTTCTTCCGCTCGGCGGACTGTGAATATCGAAACTAGGAATCGAAATTTTAACTTTTGAACGATTCCGGGAAAAATGAAAAGTTAGTCTCGGTTCCAATCGATACTCGATTCTCGATACCCAACCCTAGAGAAGCCTGCTTTCTACTTTCATCAACAAGTTTGGTTTGTGTCAGCCGGTTAGGATAGTCCTCTGCTGTTTAATTTACATGCATTAGATAATTTCTTAGTTTCTCTGATCACTGGACCTATATGGGCTTGTTCGTGCCAACACAGACTTCTCGAGCACATGCAGCTGATATAAGTAACGGTTAAATATACAACTCAACTTAACTATAACAAATAAAGACATGCGAGTTTTGAATAACTTAAAACACAGAATCTAAATGACCCGTTGCGATACTAATATTCACCCGGTGCACAGATGCACAGGATATGCAGTACAGCCACTTCTGAGTTATTAACTGATAATCTCCAAATGCCAAAATAGCAGTCAATATACAAGCGTATCAATTTCCTCTTTGTATATTCTAAAGTCGTTGCAACATTTTTATTATAAATAAATGATTTCAGCTTGGTCTGGCAGATGGAGCGGGACTGTTGAAGTCGGGAGCAGAATATGAATAAATGAACCTGCTTTTCTAGTCTCACACAAGCTTACAAGGGGCTTTTGCACCGGGTAGTTTTAGGAACTCAGTTATATGAACTCGCCACCAGGGGGATTCCCAGAGAAACAATGGTTTATTTTCCAACTTTTTCCTGGTTCCACCTCCAGTATGAACTCGTAAGACACGCTTGTCGTTGTGACTAACATTCTCTGTTCATTAGTTATGATCTGTTTAACAGTCCTGTTTAATACATTATTAGATAGTAGACAGTGATGAAAGGGTATTAGTGTATGCCGTGCGGTTGATATCTAGTGTCGCTGAGCAGAAATACATACTCATGTTTCTCTCGGTCCCTCAAGTTGCGTTGGATTTTCTCCTCAGCGTAGAGTTTAAGAGCTCCATCTATCACTGTTTTACATGTTCACAGAGTTAGATTCTGAAGTAAATATATAGGCTATAATCTGTGTGTTTACGCGGCTTTATTAAAAACGGCGGGTACTGATGTTTCATGTGCGTTCGGCCAATCAGCGAGCACTAACGTCACTGTAGTTCCTATAGCGCTGGTTTAGACCAACCTCGATGTAGGAGTAAATCAGTTCCTCCAAAAGAGTTTCACGAACTAAAATCGTTCCCGAGGAGCGTACATGCCAAAAAACGGGAACTTCCGAAAATACTATGTACTATGATGCGCAACACCCATAAAGCCAGTGGTGTATGGTAAAGCGTCAGGTAAAACGTCTGCTAAAGCGTCTGGTAAAGCGTCTGGTAAAGTGTCTGGTAAATCGTCTTGTAAAGCGTCTTGTAAAGCGTCTGGTAAAGCGTCTGGTAAAGCGACTGCTAAAGCGCCTGGTAAAGCGTCTGGTAAAGCGTCTGGTAAAGCGACTGGTAAAGTGTCTGGTAAAGCGTCTGGTAAAGCGACTGCTAAAGCGCCTGGTAAAGCGTCTGGTAAAGCGTCTGGTAAAGCGACTGCTAAAGCGTCTGGTAAAGCGTCTGGTAAAACGACTGCTAAAGCGCCTGGTAAAGCGTCTGGTAAAGCGTCTGGTAAAGCGTCTGGTAAAGCGACTGCTAAAGCGTCTGGTAAAGCGTCTGCTAAAGCGACTGCTAAAGCGTCTGGTAAAGCGACTGCTAAAGCATCTGGTAAAGCGTCTGGTAAAACGTCTGGTAAAGTGTCTGGTAAAGTGTCTGGTAAAGCGTCTGGTAAATCGTCTTGTAAAGCGTCTGGTAAAGCGTCTGGTAAAGCGACTGCTAAAGCACCTGGTAAAGCGTCTGGTAAAGTGTCTGGTAAAGCGTTTGGTAAAGCGTCTGGTAAAGCGTCTGGTAAAGCGTCTGGTAAAGCGACTGCTAAAGCGTCTGGTAAAGCGTCTGGTAAAGCGACTGCTAAAGCGCCTGGTAAAGCGTCTGGTAAAGCGCCTGGTAAAGTGTTTGGTAAAGCGTCTGGTAAAGCGTCTGGTAAAGCGACTGCTAAAGCGTCTGGTAAAGCGTCTGGTAAAGCGTCTGGTAAAGCGTCTGGTAAAGCGACTGCTAAAGCGTCTGGTAAAGCGACTGCTAAAGCGACTGCTAAAGCGACTGCTAAAGCGTCTGGTAAAGCGTCTGGTAAAGCGTCTGGTAAAGCGTCTGGTAAAGCGTCTGGTAAAGCGCCTGGTAAAGCGTCTGGTAAAGCGTCTGGTAAAGCGTCTGGTAAAGCGCCTGGTAAAGCGTCTGGTAAAGCGACTGCTAAAGCGACTGCTAAAGCGTCTGGTAAAGCGTCTGGTAAAGCGACTGCTAAAGCGTCTGGTAAAGCGCCTGGTAAAGCGTCTGGTAAAGCGTCTGGTAAAGCGTCTGGTAAAGCGCCTGGTAAAGCGTCTGGTAAAGCGACTGCTAAAGCGACTGCTAAAGCGTCTGGTAAAGCGTCTGCTAAAGCGACTGCTAAAGCGTCTGGTAAAGCGTCTGGTAAAGCGTCTGGTAAAGCGTCTGGTAAAGCGACTGCTAAAGCGACTGCTAAAGCGTCTGGTAAAGCGACTGCTAAAGCGTCTGGTAAAGCGTCTGGTAAAGCATCTGGTAAAGCGTCTGGTAAAGCGTCTGCTAAAGCGACTGCTAAAGCGTCTGGTAAAGCGTCTGGTAAAGCGTCTGGTAAAGCGCCTGGTAAAGCGTCTGGTAAAGCGTCTGGTAAAGCGTCTGGTAAAGCGACTGCTAAAGCGTCTGGTAAAGCGTCTGCTAAAGCGACTGCTAAAGCGTCTGGTAAAGCGACTGCTAAAGCGTCTGGTAAAGCGTCTGGTAAAGCGACTGCTAAAGCGACTGCTAAAGCGACTGCTAAAGCGTCTGGTAAAGCGTCTGGTAAAGCGTCTGCTAAAGCGTCTGGTAAAGCGTCTGGTAAAGCGTCTGATAAAGCGTCTGGTAAAGCGTCTGGTAAAGCGACTGCTAAAGTGACTGCTAAAGCGTCTGCTAAAGCGTCTGGTAAAGCGTCTGGTAAAGCGTCTGCTAAAGCGTCTGGTAAAGCGTCTGGTAAAGCGTCTGATAAAGCGTCTGGTAAAGCGTCTGGTAAAGCGTCTGGTAAAGCGACTGCTAAAGCGTCTGGTAAAGCGTCTGGTAAAGCGTCTGGTAAAGCGTCTGCTAAAGCGTCTGGTAAAGCGTCTGGTAAAGCGACTGCTAAAGCGTCTGGTAAAGCGTCTGGTAAAGCGACTGCTAAAGTGACTGCTAAAGCGTCTGCTAAAGCGTCTGGTAAAGCGTCTGGTAAAGCGTCTGCTAAAGCGTCTGGTAAAGCGTCTGGTAAAGCGTCTGATAAAGCGTCTGGTAAAGCGTCTGGTAAAGCGTCTGGTAAAGCGTCTGATAAAGCGTCTGGTAAAGCGTCTGCTAAAGCGTCTGGTAAAGCGTCTGGTAAAGCGCCTGGTAAAGCGTCTGGTAAAGCGTCTGCTAAAGCGTCTGGTAAAGCGTCTGGTAAAGCGTCTGATAAAGCGTCTGGTAAAGCGTCTGCCACTCACCCTTGAGCTCCACATCGGCATGGTAGTTCCCGCTGATGACGGAGTCTGTGCTCGGGGTGCCGCAGCGATACACACCGCTGTCTGTCGCTCGCACCTTCTTGAACCTGAGCTCCACTGAATTATCGGTCAGCTTCTCATAACTGATGTCCCCGCTGTTGACCCGGTCCCTCACTGAGGAGTCCATGATGAATCCTCCGAGGGTGGAGATGAGATTGAGTACTGTACCACCGGCCTGGAGAATGGACCAATCGAAATCCTGCTCCCGGGGCCCCTCGTAGTTGGACACGTTGCAGCGGATGGAGACAGCCTGTCCCTCGACATGCACCAGAGGACCGACTGGCACCTTCACCACACGGCCCTCGCTGAACAACACTGAGACGAGAAGACACGAGAGATCAGATATGGACAACTACAGTATCAGTGTGCATCTACACATTGTAGAATACAAGTAAAGTCATCAAAACTATGACAAATGCAAGTGGTCACAAAAATATTGTCAGCACACACACAGTCACCACCCACGCAAAGCATCCTGGGATACTTATAAACAATACTGTTTGAATGACAGACACTTTGCTTGTTTTTCCCCTTCACGCCCTGTTCAGCTCATCGAAAAAAAGATATTTAGGCACAATGTATGTTTGTATAGAAAACTAATTTCAAGCATTTACCTTTCACTTTATTATCTATTCATTTAAGAAAAAAATAAACATGTTGTCCACATTATATCGGCCGATAATGTTAATTTGTAATGTTGTCGTCATCGGCCTGATAAGAAAACATGGCCGCTAAAAAAGCCGATAAATAATGTATGATTTTGGTTTTGAGTATGGTTTTGAATTATGCTTATGATTGGAATCACTTCAAAAAAGGGAAATTCAGTTCATTGCAGCAGGATACATAAAGTAAAAATGAGAACATTATAACAGTGTGATATGGACATTGATTTTAATGTTGAGACTTGACTTTTTTGTAATCAGGCTCTCAAAAAGTATATAAAATTGGGATTTAGATTAATCTGCCAATATATCGGTTTTTAACTTTCAAATATAAAGAATTATCGGTATCTACGAAAATGTTACTATCGGTGCATCCCTAATAAAAACTACACCAAAGATTTCTACGTTAAAAGAAACCACCTTATTCATTTAACTCAAGATGTTTGTTTTTACTCTGAATGTCACTTTGACATTTAACGTTAGCCATTTTTAAAAGTTGTAAGATTAAAAAAATAATCACCCGACCAAAATAATTTCGGCCTGGGTTTACAGACACAGGGCTTAGATTAAATCAGGATTGGACCTTAGTGCAATTAGGATATTTAAGTACCTTTTATTAATGTGCCTACAAACATTACTGGTGTATCTTGAGATAAAACAATGGCACTGACATATTTTAAGATATATTACTTTCAGTTAAACCAGCTCAAACATGCAATTTTAGTCTGGGACCAGACTGTGAAACCAGGGGCGCGGTTTTTTAAATGCAATCCACTAGGATTTTGGATAACGGATTGGATCAAATCTTGAAAATGGGTTTTTCCAAAGAAAAAAAAAACGGATTACATAATCGGATTAGATCACGTAATCCAATCTTGGGGCCAGTTGTTCAAAGGTAAGCTGATCGGGTTTTGGTTATCGGATTGGATCAAATTTTGAAAATGGGTTGTTCGAAAGGCAAAGAAGGAATCTGAAATCAGATTAGATCAGGGAATCCAATCCTAGTTTTAATCTGGATCAAACCTTCAGTTTGTGTTGTTCAAAACTTGTCAGTGGGATTTGGATAACTTTGATCCAAAAAAACAGGATTATCCTGATCCCAACAGGGGGAAGGATTTCAAGGTGGATTTCAGGAAGAAAATGTAGTAAAACTTTAAAATTGGTCAAATATTACATTGGTATCATTTAGTGTATATACTTTTATTTATATTTTGCACTTGACTTGTGTAACCGTTGTAACAGTGATAAAGTAGACATAGGCTAACAGTTAAGCTATTCAGTATAGTAAAGTAAAAATAAAATAAAAATTATCTTGTCCCCATTTGTGTTTTGTCTCAAAATAAGAAACACTTACAGTGACCCCATGTTGACTCTTCTACCTGTTCTTTACATAGCTGGTAGCCCACATTGTGATATGTTGTCCAATTTAGAGCACTGGTTATCCGGATTTGGTAATCTTGAAAACTGTGTATCTGGATCAGGGTGATCCAGTCCAATGTTGCTTAAAAAACCTTAAATTACCTGATCCTGGATAGGAAAAAAATGGGATTTCCAAATCTGGATCATTTTGATCCAGATTAAATGTTTTGAACAACTGGCCCTTGGTTTTGATTCGAATCAAACCTTTAGTTTGTATTTTTCAGAACTTTTTTGTAGGATTTGGATCCAAAAAATCTGGATTAAACTGATCCCATCAGTTTTTCAAAAGGTTTTATCCGGATAAAATTAATCCAGATTTTGTAATCCTTTTTTTTTTTTTGCGATCGGTGATCACGTAATCCAGCTTACTTTTGAGCCAGTTTTTCAAAGCAACATCAGATTGGATCAATCTGATCTGGATAGGAATTTTTCAGGATCACCAAATCTGGTGCTCAAACAGGATAGGAAATCACAATGTAGAACTATAGATATAGAGCAACAAGTAGACAAAACAAGTAACAAACACTGTACATTGAGGATATTTATAACACGTTTCAAATATATATCACTAATAAATATTCTAAAAACAAAAATATTTCCGATTGTGATATTAATGGGCTTTATGCCCAGCTGCACTAGGCTACTCCCTGAACTTCAGCCAGCTCCTTGTTTCCTGTCTTCCATTATTGGACAAATTGAGGCAGTAGTGCAGCTGTGCATAAAGCCCATTAGTGACAGATTACAATTTAGTGTTTTTGGTCAATTTTGACAGCTGTTTGGGGGATTATTTTATGAGGCCAAGCTCTTTCTACTTTGCTGTAGGCCTAAACTGAAAGGCTGAATACGTAGCCACTGTAGCCTGACGGATGAACAAATAAAATTAAAACCTTATGAATAAATAAGATATCTTGTAAGATACTGCATGATCCAAATATAGTATTATTTGATACATTTTTAAAGTTATCACATTTTGGGCATGAAATCCATGCTGAATCCACCCTTCTGATGGGATCAGTTTAATCCAAATTATTTGGATCAACGTGATCAAATCCTACAAAAAAGTTCTGAAAAATCCAAACTAAAGGTTTGATTCGGATCAAAACCAAGATTGGATTACGTGATCTAATCCAATTATGTATTTTTTTTTCTTTTGAAAAACCCATTTTCAACATTTGATCCAATCCGTTATCCAAAATCCTAGTGGATTACTTTTGAAAAACTGGGCCCAAGTTCCCATCCGGATCAGATTGATCCAATCCGATGTTGCTTTGAAAAAGGACTGGCTCAAAAGTAAGATGGATTACATGATCACAGATCACACAAAAAATATTACTAAATCCGGATCAATTTTATCCGGATTAAACCTTTTAAAAAAAAACAGGCCCAGGGGTTGAAGTCATAAAAACCAAATTCAATCACGTTTGTCCAAACCATGGCACTCAATACACTAAGCAACCATGAAGACAGAAAGTGTGATGTCAGAGGAAATGATCAATCCCGAGTACAGGATGAGTCATCAATATTTGTCCGTTTTCCATAAGACAAAATTGTCCATTTTCAAGGCGTTCATCTGTAAACTTCAAAGAGACGCGTCTGTTCATGGAAATGTTTATTGCAAATGACCATATTAGGTTCAAAGCACTGGAATAAAAACATGCAGTCGCAACTAATGGTGAATATTAACATTTTATTGGGTTATTAAGTGCCGCGAGGCGAATTACATCAGCAGACGAACACAAACCCACAGACGAACCAGAAGAAGAGAGGAACAGAGGGACAGAAACCAAAACTGAGAGAAGGCGACATGTAACAACTCGTTTCCTCATGAGGGATCGGTTGTTCTCGTAAGGTGGAGGACTCGGAAGACAAACACTGTAGATAGACACTAGAAAAATATATGGTACAATAAAACCTGCTGCAACTGAGGTCAAACACTACTACAGTACTTACACCAGGACACAGTGAAAGTAGATATGAGCGGATTATGAATGATGAAGAGGGAATGAGCCAGATAAGACAACAATTATCAGCACAGATCTGAATTCAGAAAAACTTTACAGTCCTTTAGCACAAATTCATGTCAGGTAGAAGTTTTCAAGCAGATGCTAAGATTCCCTCATCCCCAAATCAAGCATATAACCAAACATTCAACAATGAAGGACCACATATAATCTATTTGTCAATGTAAACTCAAATATTATTCTATCTGAGACCAATGTTTATGGAGGCTACATTTGGAAACGAATTATTCAATAAATAAACACCTTTTGTGAATTATTGTGTCGAGAGCAAAAAATTTACATTTAAGAAATACTTTAAAGCTACATTGTTGGACTCATACGCTTTACAGTCGCCTAATAGTCATTTAATGTTTGATTTTAAGGTCATTTGAAAGGTAAACTTTGGCACTTAAACCTGTTTTTCAAACATCATGATTAGTATGGCCTATCAGTGGTTTTGCTTTAGGACTTGGGGAGTAACTTTAGTCCTAAAGCAAAACCACTGATAGCCCAAACACGATGTTTAAAACAGGTTTACTCTCTCTCTGCTGCAGTAAACACATTATACACCCAAACTAACCACTGGATCACTTCACCTAACATTAGTCAATATTAGACAAGACCCGATTCGTTAAATCACACAATGCAGACTAAAGGAAACATCTCAAGCGCTGATATCTTTTGACGATAATAATCAATCAATAAAGTTTGAGGTCGATCTAAAACACATCAAGATCAGTTTCATCTTAAAATAGCCTATTAAGATGAAACAACCATATATGTTTGTTTATCTTAAGAATGGCTATTTAATGATGAAAACGAACGAGCTTGTATTTAGAGGAAATTAGTTCCATGACTTACTACTTTTTTTGTTGTTGTTATCTAAACTAATTTACATACAAACACTTGAGTTATACAGGCGTTTCTTGATCAAGAACTAACGTTAATCAACTTACCAAGAGCAAAAAACAAAATCACAGGACGAAGGAGTCCCGTTCCTTTATCCATTTTGTGAAGGCGCGTGATTTTCCCACGGGATCGCCTTTGTCACACACACACACCGGGCGGAGAGAGAGAGAAAAGCCGAACGAGTCTCTCTCGAGCGCGGATTAAAGTTCAGTCCTTTAGTCCTTTAGTCCTGTGAACTGGTGGGTCTGCGCGAGCTGCATGATAAAACACACACTGAGGACTGGATTGGCACAGTCGTGTCCGGAAGTGAGTGTGTGTGTGTGAGTCAGTGCGCGCGTGTATGTTGGATGAGGGAGGGACTCGCCGCAGGTGAAGTTCCGCCGCACCCGAGCGAGTGTGTGTGTGTGTCGTGACGGTGCAGGCACACAGGCACTAATTATCTCCCAGAATAACTCAGGAGTCCAGAGAGACCCCGAAACACCCACTGATATCCTCACATGTTCCCAGAACGCTGCAGAATGAATCATTTATGGCGAGAAATCGTCCTCATTATTAGCCTATCTGTCCTTTCATCTCCGAGAGAGAGAGAGAGAGAGAGAGAGAGAGAGAGAGAGAGAGAGAGAGAGAGAGAGAGATTGTAGGAGACCTTCTTCTCATCATAAACCTGAATGAATATCCATGCATCAGTACAGTCAAGGCTAAGACCACACTGATTTATTCACATTTACACCAATTAAGTGTTTATGTTCCCACATGTTTTACAGAAAGGTCTGTATGCTGTAAAATGCATATGAAATATTTTATATTCTGCCCTATTTCTTGGTCACCATGTTGCATTGATCATGTGAACTCTTTGCAGTGACATCAGATTTTCTTTGCTTCCACTGAAAAAAAAAACAAACTTTTTCTTATTTTTCTACAAAGAAATCTTATTTTCCTTTTTTTTACAGTGTAAAAATGCTACATAACATGATCATTGGGTTTAACACAAATCTGTGGCACTCAGCTTCTGCTGTCATATATATATATATATATATATATACATATGAAGAGTTCAGATGCAAAAGCCTCTAAATGCCATTTGAAATTTTCTTCTAAAATGACCATTTTTATCAAGCGTGTATATTTAATTTCAGTAATTTCACTTAAATGACAATTAATAGGTAATCTTCATTGCCATTCAAGTGAAATTACTGAACTTAAATATACAAGCTTGATAAAAATGATCATTTTAGAAGAAAATCTCAAATGGCATTTAGAGGCTTTTGCATCTGAACTCTTCATATATATATATATCACATTTTAGATTTTGCTGTAGCTGTTGTACAACTTGGCATGGAGATACTGTTGCAGTTAAAGGAAACTGCTAAATTATTCAATTTAAATGATAATATAATTTGTAACAAAAAAATAAATCCATTAGAAAAGAACATGAATAGAATTTCCATGAGTGGTCTCGGGATTTTGGACCCCATTGTAAATGCATATATATATATATATATATATATATATATATATATGTGTGTGTGTGTATACAAACAATTGAATTCAGTAATCTCATCTGTTTTTTGCACAAATTCACATCTCAGAGATTCACATGACACAGTTACAGTGTGTGTTCCTGTTGTCAGGTTGTAAACACATTTGAAATGCTTGTGTACATACAGACAGACACACACACTTTGTTTGTGTGAATGTGTAGAGACAGATCTGGGCAGAGGTCAGGGTGTGACTGAGGGTTCAGGGTCAAAGGTCAGTGTACCTTTTGGTAAAGCCACTGTGATTAACACTTGTGTTCAAGTCATTGTGTGACTATTTTTACTTGTTGATGCAGAACATATGGTTGCAGTCAGACTGCAGTGACCCACTGCGACACACACACACACACACACACACACACACACACAGTATGATGATAAAGCCAGAATTCGTTAAGGCTCAAACTACAGTCTAACTCTGTTCACAGTTGCTCCATTGTGAACGGCTGCTCCCAGTATTAGTGTGTTCAGGACCGACACACCCTTCAGACAAAAGACAGCGAGCGGAGTGTGAGCACACGTCAGGGACAGCTGTCAATCAAACACAACACTGGATGTATTTAATAATCTTGTGCGTTTGGAAAATCGACTCATCTCGAACATACCGATCAACTTCTCCCAGCATTCAGCTGTGCCGTTATTAATGTCCTGTCATAACAAGCGGAGAGTTACGCTCTTCTGCCTCATCTTGTAGGAATCGGACCGATAAGCTCGCTCACATCTGCAGGGAAAATATTTGATCTGTTGTCATTTCACAACGCAAGCGTCACACAGATGTAGAAGACGTTTGCTAAATAAAATATAACACCTTGTGTTGAGTAAAGAACGGAGATAGAGAAAGCAGAGACACATGTCTAATCAAGTCAGAACTCCAACATCCCACACAGATCGATCAAACGCTCCCTCTAGTGGTGATTGTGGAGTAATGCCACGACACACAGCTTCAGTGCAGAGAAAATGAAAATTAAAGTGTCAGTTCGCCCAAAAATGAAAATCCTGTAATTAATGACTCACCCTCATGCCTTTCCAAACTCATAAGACTTTCATTCATCTTCAGAACACAAATGAAGATATATTTGATGAAATCTGAGAGGTCTCTGACCCGTTCACAGACAGCAATTTAACGGCCACTTTCAAGGCCCAGAAAGATAGTAAAGGCATTATTAAAATCGTCCATTGGTACCACCTCTATCGAGCTTCCAAGCGTACCGTACCGATACTAAAATGTGATGTGAACACACTGCAGACAATATTAGCCTAATGTTTAATGTTTAAAGGTGCAATGTGTAAAAATTTATAAAAGTATTTAAAAAAAACATAAATGCAATAGGACATCCATAACTATGTGTTCAGTGGTGTATAAAGAACTTTCTTAATACACCGTAATGTTTTTCTTACCTTAGAATGAGACATTTATATTTACATATAACCACAGGCACGTCCTTCTATGAATATAAATAAATTCTATATAAATAAAGTTTACGATGTGGACAAAAACGAGGACATTTTCAGTAACCAATGTAACCGAAACTAAACAGTGTCTACAGTATATGTGCATTTAAAGGACAAGTTCAGTATTTTACAATTAAAGCCCTGTTTTACAGTAAGATCGTTTCTGATTAAATAGATTGGTTAGGATTGTTTTTTCGACAGATGCTGCTGTCACGAGAATTTTCGGTTTCTGTGTTAGCACCCCCCCCCCCCCCCCAATCATTCATAAAAACGCATAAAACTTTAGTTTACAAAGACGTGAAACTCACCGAGTGGTCTGGGATGTTCACTGATATGCTCACACTAAAATCGCTGCAAAAGATGCTTTCCAACAGGTTTTATCATAGTTTTTGTCCAACTCCATTGACTCGTATTGTATGTTCTGTGATGTCCGTTATTACTCCGCCGCCTGGAAATGGAAATGAGCCTGTTTGCAGTGTTGTAGTACTCGAGACTCGGACTCGTCTCGGACTCGGTCTCGAGACCATATTTTAATGGTCTTGGTCTTGTCATGGACTCGTGTCCATTTGGACTCGGAATTGACTCATACTCGAACATTTTTTTTTTTTAGGACTCGGACTTATTCCCGAGTCCACTCGAGTTCAATTCAAAATATTTTTCATGATTATTAATGTATGTTAATAAAATATTTCTTTAAATTGATTGACACGCCCAGTGATTGGTGATTTTCTAGTGCGCAACTGCGCTTGACAAATTGTAATAAAATTACTTTTAACACCACCTACTATGTGGCCTTTTTACCCTAAACTGATCATATTTTTTAAACTCAAAGTAAATTCAGTAAAAAAAAAAAAAAAAAAAGGATTTCTCTAAGTAAATAAAAGTAAATTAGGTAATCAACCCTGGTCTCGGTCTCGACTCGGACTCGACCGTCTCTGGTCTCGGACTCGACTTGGACTCGACTCTCTCTGGTCTCGGTGTCGACTCGGACTCGAGTGAGGTGGTCTCGACTACAACACTGCCTGTTTGTATTCTTTCTGTAGTTTATGCAGTCGCGTGCATAGGTCGCGTGTATACAAGTGGTTTGCTTGCATTTGGCAAAGGTGCATTATCGCCACCAACTGGGCTGGAGTGTCTATTATTCAAACTCTCAACGGAAGAACGTTTGCGGATGAAACCAAAGATGTTTAAAAAAAGGAGCAGCTCGTTTGAATCAGCGATCGCGCCTGTTTTAAGCGATTTGAATGTTTCCTTTTTGTTAAAAACCGAGCAAAGAACGACACTCCACCGCTCTCCATACGTCATCTCCTTCATCGCTCTGATTGGTTTTGGGTCTATCCGCGACGTCCGTTGGTGACGCCCCTTTGGAGACGATTCGTCTATGCTAATTGAAATACAGGCTGATGGTCGACCTGCTGGGCATTGCTGCCTGTCGCACCTCCACCGGTGCCTTTTGTGCAGGTGTGCTCCACCTCTTTGGCATAAGATGGGTCATCAGCTGGGGACCACCAGTCATCGATGTTTTGCTCCTTTAACCCCAGTACATCTCCTGGTGGCGGAGCGATGGCAGGGATCACTCCCTGCCACCCCCTGCTGATGCCCTAGATGTTACTTGGCCCCCATACCTTGTGCTTCCTCCTTAGCCACAACCAAAAGCTGCCCCTCTCAGCCTCCTCTGCCAGTTCTTTAATGGCTTTTCGACACCCTGCTCCTGTACATCCCATCTCGCGGAGCAGACGAACCGTTGAGGACCCAACAAAACCCCTGCATCCCACTTCAACTGGCCACGTGGTGGCTTTCCAGCCAGCCTCTTTGCAGGCTTCTGCCAGATCTGCGTACTTGGCACGCTTCCGTTCGTTGGCAGCCTCCATTCCCTCCTCCCATGGGACAGTGAGCTCCACCAACAAGATGGTCTTGCATAACTCTGACCACATGATCAGGTCTGGCCGGAGCAAAGTTTCCACGATCTCCCTGGGGAATTGGAGCTGCCTCCCCAGGTCGACCCTCATGTTCCACTCACTGCCAGATAAGAGGACTCTAGATGTTGCTCTCTGGTGAGGGTGATTGATTTTTTCCCCGGCCCTTGCAAACAGGATGGGACTTCTCGTTGGTCCAAAGGGTCTTCTATTAGCCTCCTGTCTACACGACTCTGCCACCTCTGCTAGTTTCCTCAACACCAGATCGTGACGCCACCTATAGCGGCCTTGGGACAATGCTGTCTTGCAGCCCGACAGGATGTGCTGGAGGCTTGCATTGCTGGTACTGCAAAGGGGGCAGAGTTCTTCAGTGCCGAACCACTGATGGAGGTTTCTGGGACAAGGTAGTGTCATAAGTAGATCTAATCAGGAAGCTGAGCCTTGCTTGGGGTATCTTCCACAGATCAGACCATGACAGATGCCTGTCTGTGACACCTTCCCATGACATCCAGACTCCCTGCCAGCTCTGAGACTTGATGTTAAGGCGCTCCTGCTCAGTCCTTGTCACTTCTGCCACCACCATGGCTTTCCGCTCTTCCTTGGAGGCCTTTGACCAGAAGAGGGGGGTCTCACTCCTCCCAAGGCCTGCTCGACCCTCCTGGACTCTGCCGACTATTTCACAGTGTTTCAGCCTGCTAATTGCCCTGTCGACCTCTTCCTGGGCTTTCCACTTCCTCCCTGTTCGTATATTAGGGCCAGCTGCTCTCACCAGTTGATCAGTTGATTCCCTTAGCTCCATCACCATCCGAGCCTTCTCCTGCTTGTATCCCAGGCCAATGGATCGCAGTGGCAGCTGTAGTGTGTTCCTGCCAAAGAGGCCTACCTCTGATAGGCATCTTGGCAGACCTAGCCACTTCCTGATGAATGAGTTTGCTAGCTCATCCATCTTGTTTGCCACCGAGGAGGGAACTTCGCTCATCTTCAGAGGCCACATCACCCTTGGGTATAGTATGAACTGGTAGCTCCATACTTTATACTTGCCGGGGAGCTGGCTCTGATTGATTCTGGCGAGGCCATCTGCGAGCTGCTTTCTCACTGTTTCCCCCATCTGCCTATCAGAGAGGTCTGCTGTATAACTACGACCCAGGCTACGGACGGGCTGATTTGCCAGCAAAGGGATTTCTTCACCGCCTGCGAAAAGATGGTATGGTCATTTCTAACCCCTTTCCTGATGGACAGGCTGCGTGATTTGGCGGGTTTGATCTTCATCCTCGCCCACCCCACAAGCTCGTCAACCCTCTTCAGCAGCCTTGTTGTGCATGCAGCTGTCTGAAGAATGGTGGTGATGTCGTCCATATAGCCTCTCACTGGTGGTAGCCTTTGGCCTGATGGTAGCTTCATACCTCCAACCATCACCCTTGCCCCCATCAGGATAATCTCGAAGGCTGCCACAAAGAGGATGGGCGAGATTGAGCATCCCATGGCAATGCCCACTTCCAGCTGTTGCCAGCCTGTCGTGAAGTCCTGATGAGTGCAACACATCTTGATGTCCTCAAAATACTTGGCCACCAGGGCACGAATGCAGTCAGGGATGTAGAAAAAATCCAAGGCATACTCGATGAGTTGGTGGGGGACAGACCCGTATGCGTTGGCAAGATCCAGCCACACCACATGCAAGTCACCTTTTTCTCTTTTGGCTCTCTGGATCTGCTCCCATATGACTGCAGAGTGTTCCACGCACCCTGGGAAGCCTGGCACGCCTGCTTTCTGGCAGCTAGTGTCAATGTACCCATTGCTTATGAGGTAGGTAGCCAACCTCTTTGCCAGGACGGAGAAGAAAATCTTGCCTTCCACATTCAGGAGTGCAATGCTCCTGAACTGGCTAATGGTGGTAGAGCTCGTTTCCTTCGGGATGAACACTGTGACAGCTCGTCGCCAATCTGAAGGGATAACCTTGTTCTTCCAGGCCACTCTCAGGAGGTTCCACAGATGTCTCAGGACCCCTGGGCAGTACTTGTACAGCTTATACGATATCCCATTGAGGCCTGGAGCTGAGGCTGCTCTCGCTTTCCGTACAACTTCTGCTACCTCACTGAGTTTGGGAGATCAGTGTTAAACAGCGAGGATGGGGGGGCTGGGCGAGGAACATAACCTGGTGATCCCAGTGGCGTTGACTTTGCTGGGTCACTGTACTGCTCCCTGAAGAAACTTTCCAGCTGTGACTGTGTGATCTCCAGCTTCCCGCTTCTCTTATCCTCCAGTAGCTGTCTCGCATGCTTGAAGGGTTTTTGAAGAAGTTTCTCCTCTCCTTCTCCTTCCGCCTTCTGCGTTTGCGGATACGCTCTGCCTCCGAAGGCTGGCTAGGTTCTTCTTCACCTCCTCCCACAGTGGCTTCAAGCCCTCCTTCTCCTCTTTACTTGCCTTCCTCCACTGCTTTCGGAGCTGGCGCCGCCTCTTTATCAGTTGCTCGATCTCTCTCTCCCTCCTCCCCTTCTGCTTTGAACCCTTCTGCTTCTCAGCAACTACCCCGAACCTGCTTCTGCACTCCTCGTACAGGATGACTCCAAAGCGATTCAGCTTGGTTTCCACCTGGCCGCGCAGTGACTGCTCCAGAATTAAACAGAGGTCCTTATCGAGCTGCTGCCACACTGCCACCTCATTCGCTTTAGGCCATTTCACTAGCTGCCTCCGCCCAGGTTCACTCCTCTCTGGTCTTAGGCCTGGCTCCTGATTGCTGGGGTTTAGTAATGAAGGTTTCCTAAGGATATTTTGTGCACCACCCTCAGAGGAATACGTATCAACCAAAGACTCTCCTGTGTCCTCTACCTGCCTTCCCTCAGCAACGTTGGAACCTTCAGCGCTGTGGTTAGCGACCTGGCTTTGGGCTCCTCTTGTCTGACCTGCAGTTGCAGAGCAATGTTGCTGCTGGCCCCCCGCTTGACACTATATGTAGTTTATGTAGTGTTAATAAACTGAAACAGGAAGTGCTTCTGGACCAGTGTTGTTTACATCTTGTGAAATGGTCTATATATATATATATATATATATATATATATGTGTGTGTGTGTGTGTGTGTGTGTGTGTATGTCTGTTACCTCCCTGCTGTAAAAATAGTTTATGCTAAGGGGTATAATAAAAGAAAAGAAAACAAACAAACAAACAAACAAACAAACAAACAAAAACAAACTTACCATGCCTCTCTCCACACACTGGGTTACCATTACAAGGCTGTGAACATTTTGTTCCCACACCATACGCCAGAAATCATCCTTGGTACCTGGTAGAGGCCCTTGTGTGGCAATATACTCCCATTTGAAATTGTATCCCTGTTAAACAAATACAGAAATACTTTTAAACCTGTGGACAAAAAGGACCGTTAAGTGCTTTGAAGTTCATGAACGGTACTAATATTTAGGTTTTTCTTTTTTTAAAGAAATTGTTAGTTGACAATTAACAAAAAAATAAACAAACAATAGATACAGTTGAGACAATTTCACATAGAGCGCTTGCTGAAGGTCCAGAAGCTGACATTTGCTGCGTCCCAATTCAGAGGCTGCATCCTTCAAAGGGTGATTGCATCACCAGGGCGTGACGAAGACTGTACCAATCTCAAAGGCTCCTTCAAAAGCGGCCTCGAAATGCACTCTTCGTTTCCCGCGAAATGAAGGATACAAACATATGGATTCTTCAAGGCCTTGTCTACTCCAGAATTCATTGCACGGCAGAGAAGTTGACAAATTCCGCTTTCAAAAAGTATTGTTTCAACTTGGTCAAATATATAATGATACAAATGTAAAAAAAATAAAAAAAATATATATATATATATATATATATATATATATATATATACAGTATATATATGAAGAGTTCAGATGCAAAAGCCTCTAAATGCCATTTGAAATTTTCTTCTAAAATGATAATTTTTATCAAGCTTGTATATTTAAGTTCAGTAATTTCACTTAAATTGCAATGAAGATTACCTATTAATTGTCATTTAAGTGAGATTACTGAACTTAAATATACAAGCTTGATAAAAATGGTCATTTTAGAAGAAAATTTCAAATGGCATATAGAGGCTTTTGCATCTGAGCTCTTCATATATATATATATATATATATATATATATATTAAAAAACATTATGTCATCTTTCTCATTTATAACCTAGATAATGTTGGAAACAGTTGTGTAGCTTAATATTAAAAGAAAAAAAAACAGAATTTATTCAAAATGATGTGAAAGACAAAATAAGTCTTTATTGTCACTTTTATCAGTTTATCAGAAAAATAATTACTGACTCCAAGAGTAGTGTATATTGTTACAAAAAATCCTGAAAAAAGTATCACAGGTTATAAAAAAATATATATATTAATCTGCACAACTGTTTCCAACATCAATAATAAATTGGCATATTTCTGAAGGATCATGTGACACTGAAGACTGGAGTAATGGCTGATGAAAATTCAGCTTTGTTTGCATCTGTTACGTGAGTATCACGAACGTCTGGACTGGAGTCCTCTAATTAAGTTTAATTATGTTAATGTTGTCTTGTTTCCGTTTTTCTTAGTTTTGATTGGTGGTGCTTGGGAAGGACCAGAGATAAAACGGAAGGAAGTGTCCTTGGAGGAGGCCGCTCACCACTGATTCTTCATTGTTTATAGTTTTGAATTTGAGTTTGGAGCGGGGAGTCTCAGCTGTGGGTTGTATTTCCAATTCTCTTCCCGTGTTGCTGAGCTCCCTGTCTCTTATGTTATGGTTAATTGGGAGTTGTTTGAGTTATAATAAATACATCATTTTGGATTACGTCTTTCGTTGTCGATCTTTTATGTTGTGGTCCCGGAAACCTAGACCCGTATTTTGTGGGATCGTAACATAAAAGATCAAGCAAGAAAATTTGCTAGATTATGTCAGCTCTTTTCGTTACAAGTTACATAGGGCTTTGTGAGTTGGCTAGCAAAAATCTGATCGCAGCTCAGGCCAAAATGAAAGGTTGGTTTGACAAAAAAGCTAAGATTAGACAATTTAAGGCTGGGGACAAAGTTTTGGTATTTTTACCTGTTCTTGGTTCAAGTCTTCAAGCACGCTATAGTGGTCCATATGTCATACAGAAGAAGGTTAGTGACAGGGATTATATTGTAGCTACTCCCGACCGTGTCCGTCAAAGCAGATTGTGCCATGTCAATATGATCAAACCCTATTATGATCGCGAACAGTTGGACAAGAATAATACAGGGGAGGTAAATTCGGTAATGGCTTTGATCAATGTTGAACAGCCTCAAGTGTGTTCTCCTGTCTGTAGTGCTTTTCAGGTACCTGATTCCTCTGAAGGAACATCTGGAGCTGAAACTGTCTCTGAGGCCTGGGGGTCGCTGTCCGGTTCTGAAGTTGACAGTGGTATTAAAAGTTCTCTTGTCTCTACAGTACAGGGCCGGTTAAACAACTCTGAAATACTCGCTAACCTTGATTTTTACATCTATCCTGTTCGCAGCGTACAGATGTTGTAAATTTAATTAATCGTTATGTTTTACTCTTTTCAGATGTGCCGTCCCAAACGCAAATATTACAGCATGACATCGATGTGGGTGACAATACGCCAATTAAACAGCACCCGTATCGTGTCAATCCTGAGAAACATCAGCGTTTACAAAATCAGGTTGACTATATGCTTGCTGTTACATGGTATTGCAGAACCTAGTGTCAGCTCATGGAGTTCGCCCTGCATTCTCGCTATTAAGTCTGATGGATCTGACCGTTTTTGTACAGACTTTAGGAAGGTTAACAATGTCACGAAGCCTGATTGTTATCCTCTTCCTCGCATGGAGGATTGTGTTGACCGCGTGGGGTCTGCAACGTTCGTGACAAAGCTAGACCTTCTTAAAGGCTATTGGCAGGTGCCATTAACTCCACGTGCTAGGGAAGTTAGTGCGTTTGTTACTCCTGATGCCTTCTTGCAGTATTCTGTAATGCCTTTTGGGGTACGAAACGCGCCCCAATATCTGGATGATATAGTAATTCACTCTGCAACGTGGGATGAGCACATCAATCAACTACAACAAGTGTTTCACAGGTTGGCGAGGGCAAACTTAACGGTTAATTTGGCTAAATGTGAATTTGCTAAAGCAACCATAACCTATCTAGGGAAAATTGTAGGTGGTGGCAAGGTAAAACCGGTAAATGCCAAAATTGAGGCCATTACATAATTTCCAGTTCCTTCTAGTCGTCGTGAACTACAGCGATTCTTAGGAATGGCGGGCTATTACCGTAGTTTTTGTGTAAACTTCTCTGCCGTAGCTGCCCCACTTACTGACCTGTTGAGTCCAAAAATACGCTTTAAATGGTCACCGGAATGTCAATATGCTTTTGAGTCCCTTAAAACACTCCTGATGCAGGCACCTGTTCTCGCTGTTCCAGCGTATGACCGTGTGTTTAAACTGGCTGTGGATGCCAGTGATGCGGGAGCAGGTGCTGTTTTGTTGCAGGAGGGGCTTGATGGCATTGAACATCCGGTGTGCTATTTTTCAAAAAAATGTCAAAAACATCAAAAATCATATTCAACAATTGAGAAAGAAGCACTTGCCTTGATTTTGGCCCTTAAGAACTTTGATGTTTATATCGGTTCTTCATCCAGTCCGGTTACGGTTTATACGGACCACAACCCTCTTGTGTTTATTAATCAAATGCGCAACTCAAATAAGCGTTTGATGAGGTGGGCTTTGTTTGTCCAATCATTTAATCTGGAGATAAAACATGTATCCGGGAAGAATAATGTGTTGGCAGACACATTGTCGCGTACGGTTATATGGTGATTGGTGGGTTTATGTTGTTCTTTCCCACCATTCACCATTTAGGGGTGGAGGTGTTACGTGAGTATCGCGAACGTCTGGACTGGAGTCCTCTAATTAAGTTTAATTATGTTAATGTTGTCTTGTTTCCGTTTTTCTTAGTTTTGATTGGTGGTGCTTGGGAAGGACCAGAGATAAAACGGAAGGAAGTGTCCTTGGAGGAGGCCGCTCACCACTGATTCTTCATTGTTTATAGTTTTGAATTTGAGTTTGGAGCGGGGAGTCTCAGCTGTGGGTTGTATTTCCAATTCTCTTCCCGTGTTGCTGAGCTCCCCGTCTCTTATGTTATGGTTAATTTGGGAGTTGTTTGAGTTATAATAAATACATCATTTTGGATTACGTCTTTCGTTGTCGATCTTTTATGTTGTGGTCCCGGAAACCTAGACCCGTATTTTGTGGGACCGTAACAGCATCACATAAATAAATACTATTTTAAAGTATATTAAAACAGAAAATATAAATATAATATTATATATCTATATAAATAATAATTTGTCTGTAATTTTGATCAAATAAATGCAGCGTAAAATTCACAACCTAAACCACACAACTCATGATTCCGCACAGTTTTTAGCCAACGAGCTATCAAATGAAAAACATAATAGTCAACTCACAGGTATGTAGTTAGCATTGATGTAGTCTGAGCAGGGGTCGTCCTTCAAGCAAGACAGTCTTACACGCGTTGAGTCGTCTGCCAATGAATCATTAAAGTGGTTAATGAGGAAGTTCGTGTTTCATTTGAGCACACAAAGTAAAGAACTACGAAATATACTCCAGGCCTGCCACAGTATACGCTATAGCGGGTATGAAGGATGAAACTGGTATTAAATAATAGAAAATTGTTGAAAGGTGCAAATACAGTATTTTGAATGAAACTCACTTAACAACAATAGTTCCTATATAAATATAATAAAGTATTTAATCGCCTTAAATAAAATGTTGTGAACTGACTGAACAGAGTGTATACAATTCATTTTAATAAATGTAATAATTTATTAATACATTTTATCATTTTAAAACTTTTAATAATTTATCATTTATCTGTATTAAATTTTACATTTTCCTTTGAAATTTTAGCCACAATAAATACAAAATAAAATTAAAAATTTACAATAAAGAGGCTTTCCGTTATTGTGCTGGCAACCATAGGACATCCAACCAGCGCAAATATATAATCAATTTGAATACTACATCAGTGTGACAACTGTGATATCATGGCAAGTCTAATATAGTCAGAATGTACTTTTATGACAATGTCATATGTCTCTACTTACAGGGAAGTATATTGTTGTATCGATTTTTGCTTCGGTTCCCAAGTAGACGTGCAGCACTCTGAGTTTGGGTCCGTCCCACCTCCTTTAAGCCCTTTTTAATATTGGGTTGATGCAAAACAAATCCAAATTATATATACAGTCAACTCAACTTTTCACAAAATTCTAACCTATCTTTGAAGTAAAACAATTCAAAGTGGGGGGAAATCTCAAATTAATGTTTTCTCTAGTTCACGTTGGCCACAATTATTGGCATCCAATTATTGCAACATCCTTTCCCCAAGATAACCGCTCTGAGTTTTCTCCTATAATGAGTTTGGAGAACACCTGACAAGAGATCAGAGACCATTCCTCCATAGAATATCTCTCTCTCAGAAGCTTCTTTTTGTACTCAGTGACACATTTTTGTGTTGATTTTGATGTTTGTTGTGGATCTGATGGAAGATCTAACCACAGCCCATTATAAGATTTCTAGCAGAAGTGGTCAGGTTTTCTGTTCAGAAGTGATCTGTTGGCATTTGCATGATATGATATTTTCAGACATGTATCTGATGTCCAGGACCTCCAGCAAAAATGTAGTCCCACAACATTAAAGATCCAGCGGTATATTTAACCGTGGGTACTTTTTTTGGGAACCCTCCCAAAATGTGGTGATGAAGGGTTGTTTGATAAAAACGATATAGACACAAGATTTAGTTAATTGGATTTGGAACTATTTAATTATTATTCTGACGTTAGAAATGTGATTTTCAATGCTTTAGCTATTTTCTTACAGTAAAGCTCAATAATCTTTTGCTGTCCATCAGAACTATATTCTTTGGTTTTACTCATTGTGATGGATGATTAAGGGAATTTGGCCTTTGTGTTTCCTCAAATTTATACTCCTGTGGAACAGGAAGTCATGGCTGGACAATAAAAAAACATGATCAAATATGAATGGGAATATACTACAGCAACCCGGTCTCATCCCAAGACGTCATATAACTACGTTTTGGGACGTCTTTTGACCATACGTCAATATTCGCCTTTTTAGGGCCCCCTTAAACGTCGGTAGATGATGTTATGGGATCCTAACTGTACCCCATACCTAAACCTAACCCTAAACCTAACCCGTCACCTAACTGACGTTAAAGGTAAAGCGTCAGTTGTATGACGGCCCGGGATCGCCATCTACCGACGTTTAAGGGGGCCCTAAAAAGGCGGATATTGACGTATGGTCAAAATACGCCCCAAGACGTCAGTTATATGACTTTTTGGGATGAGACTGTGTTAACTACAGAGATATCTTACTTATAATAATTTCTAGGGGTGCCAATATTTGTGGCCAACATGCACTGGAGAAAAATATTTATTTCATAATATGAGTTTCCCTCCACTTTCAGTTGTTTTAGTCAATTTTGTGAATTTTTGGAATGAATGATAAAAAGGATAATCAATGCAGATTTATTTGGACAGCCACCTTTGCTCATATTTAACAAGGGTGCCAATAATTCTGGAGTTGGCTGTACATTGCAGCTTATTTGCTAATAAATAATTAAGATTAAAGTGGAACGATGACTTGACTGATCTTTCAAGTCAAGTCACATTTATTTACACTCACCTAAAGGATTATTAGGAACACCTGTACAATTTCTCATTAATGCAATTATCTAATCAACCAATCACATGGCAGTTGCTTCAATGCATTTAGGGGTGTGGTCCTGGTCAAGAAATCTCCTGAACTCCAAAATGAATGTCAGAATGGGAAAGAAAGGTGATTTAAGCAATTTTTGAGCGTGGCATGGTTGTTGGTGTCTGAGTATTTCACAATCTTCTGCATTTCTAGGGTTTACAAAGTATGGTGTGAAAAGGGAAAAACATCCAGTATGCGGCAGTCCTGTGGGCGAAAATGCCTTGTTGATGCCAGAGGTCAGAGGAGAATGGGCCGACTGATTCAAGCTGATAGAAGAGCAACTTTGACTGAAATAACCACTCGTTACAACCGAGGTATGCAGCAAAGCATTTGTAAAGCCACAACACGCACAACCTTGAGCCGGATGGGCTACAACAGCAGAAGACCCCACCGGGTACCACTCATCTCCTCTGCAAATAGGAAAAGAGGCTACAATTTGCAAGAGATCACCAAAATTGAACAGTTGAAGACTGTAAAAATGTTGCCTGGTCTGATGAGTCTTGATTTCTGTTGAGACATTCAAATGGTAGAGTTAGAATTTGGTGTAAACAGAATGAGAACATGGATCCATCATGCCTTGTTCCCACTGTGCAGGCTGGTGGTGGTGGTGTAATGGTGTGGGGGATGTTCCCTATCGAGGGAACTCAACACTGCGTCGATAAAATCGACTCTTTGGGGACGCTCCCTAAGCGTGCGCCTCTGAAGTATGAATGAAACTAATCCAATCCTGATTGGTGTTGCGTCGTGACGTAACATGTGACGGCATACCCGGAAGTATAAAAGTGACGCTGTCACAACACACACTAGCTTTCGCTCTTCAGCAAGCGCTTTATGTTGAAACTGTCTGTCTTATTTGGTGTTGTTTGTCTTATTATTGAAAGAAAGTATGGCCAGTGAACAATTCAAGAGGTGTGTGCATCCCTGTCCTCGTTACATCACGGGTGGGGACGCACACTCTCTCTGTGTGTATTGTTTGGGAGTGCAGCACGCACGGGCAGCTCTCGAGGGGGCTGCTTGTGAAATGTGTGAGGCTTTGCCTATTAGAGTGCTGCGCTCCCGGCTGGCGTGCTTTGACGAGCACGGTCAGGCTCGCGTTCCCCAGGGTTCCGGTCCCGCATATGTCGAGGCGATGCGGCGACTGAGATCCTGGGGTTCGCAGCGGGATCTGGCGGAGGAGAGTGAGAATGCTGAGGCATTTTCTCGCTCGCCATCGGCTGATCCCGCAGCCTCTGAGAGTGGTGTGGGAGCCCGCGCTGCGGTTTCTCCTACCCGCGATCAGGTCCCGGTGCTTGAGCTGTCTACTTCTGAGGAAGGGGACGTGCTCAGCATCGATGCGGACGACCGTGATCTCAGCACGCCATCACGCGGCCTGGGTTATGAGGAGCTGGTGGAGGTTGTGACACGCGCTGTGGCCAGACTAAACATCAGCTGGCCACAACATGAGCAGGAAACGCAAGTCACCAGTAAAATGGACGAGCGTTACCTGCAGCGCAGGTCACAGCCTCACCGCCGGGGTCTGCCGTTTTTCCCTGATCTCCATAAAGAGATATCGAGAACGTGGGAAAGACCGCACTCGTCCCGTATTTCGAGTCCCAATGTAATAGATTACAGCAATGTTATGGGGGCTCGAGATATGGGATATGGGAAGATGCCGAAGGTGGAGGAGGCTTTAGCGAGCTATCTCTCTCCCGAATCGGCGTCTTCCCTAAAGACCCCGGTGTTGCCTAGTAAGCCCTGCAGAGAGACATCTGCATTGGTGGGCAGGGCTTACATGGCGGCGGGTCGGGCTGGTTCGTGTCTGCACTCAATGGCGATTTTGCAGGCATACCAGGCCGACCTCCTGAAAGATTTGGATGAGGGGGAGGGGCCTACTCCTGAAGATGTCGCGGAGTTGAGGAAGGCCACAGATTTGTCTCTCCGGGCCACTAGGGAAGCGGCCAGCGCTATTGGCCGCTCTATGGCGGCCATGGTGGCCACGGAGAGGCATCTGTGGCTGAACTTATCTGGTATTAAAGAAAAGGATAGGTCCTTCCTGCTGGATGCGCCGCTTTCGGCTTCTGGCCTGTTCGGCGACGCCGTTAATTCGGTTGTCGACAGGTTTCAGGAGTCGAGAAAACAATCTGCGGCGTTCCAGCAGTACCTCCCCCGGAAAGCGAAGGCCAAATCTAGTAGGGGGGGGCAAAGCAATCAGCCCCAGCCATCAGCCAGCTCCTCCCACAGGGCAGAGCAGAAGGAGAGCGTTTCCTCTAGAGCCCCCCCTCCGGGGTCTTGGCAACAGAGGAAACGCTCCCTAAAACCGAAGTCCTCCAGCCAGAGGGGCGACCTGAGGGACGTCATTCAGGCTAAGAGGACTTCGGAAAAGAGGTCCTAGCCAAGGCAGGACTTCAGAGGGCTGCCCCCTCCGCAGTGAGACAACCGAGGTTGTTCTCGCAACGGGGCCCTCTAGGAAAAGATGCAGGTCCGCCGTTAACAGCGCTTCGGGCCGCATCAATTTCCAGCGAAAGGACACCAGAGGCCAGCCTCGAGAGGCTGGTACCCTTAGCAGATTTTGTAGAGGGATGGTATCATCTTCCCAACATATCTCCATGGGTCCTGCAGATAATACGAGTTGGGTACAGACTGCAGTTCGCGCACCGCCCCCCCAAGTTCTCTGGGGTGGTGCTCACTGCGGTGGTCCCAGAGCAGGCTCAGGTGCTGGAACAAGAAGTACAGACTCTGCTGTCGAAAGGAGCCATAGAACGTGTTCTTCCGGTAGACAGGGAGTCCGGGTTTTACAGCCGGTACTTTATAGTTCCAAAGAAGGATGGGGGGTTAAGGCCAATTTTGGATCTCAGGGTGTTGAACCGGTCTCTGAGAAAGTTCAAATTCAGAATGTTGACCATTCCAACAATCGTGAGTCAAATCAGATCCGAGGACTGGTTTGTCACGATAGATCTGAAAGACGCCTATTTTCACATCTCCATCCTTCCTTGTCACAGGAGGTACCTGAGGTTCGCTTTCGGGGGCGAAGCATACCAATATCGGGTTCTTCCGTTCGGCCTAGCACTCTCTCCCCGCACATTTACCAAGTGTATGGACGTGGCCCTTGCTCCACTGAGACTTCAGGGGTTTCGCGTATTGAATTATCTCGACGACTGGCTTATTTTGGCCCAGTCTCGGGAGATGGCAGTTCGGCATCGAGATGTCGTTCTTGGCCATATTCAAAAATTGGGGTTAAGACTCAATTTGAAGAAGAGTGCGCTAGAACCGTCCCAGGGCACGACCTTTTTGGGAGTCGTGTGGAACTCGATTACAATGCAGGCACGTATGTCTCCTGCACGTATCGAGTCAATTCCGGCGATGGTGTCCAGGGTGAGGCTAGGTCAGGCCGTCACTGTGAAACAATCCCAAGGGCCAGTGTTGGGGGTGTCATGTCGCCGGGAAACCGTTTCGACAGACGCCTCCCTTACGGGCTGGGGCGCGGTCATGGACGGCCGCTTTACCAGGGGTCTGTGGCAGGACCATCATCGCACTTGGCATATAAATTGCCTGGAGATGATGGCGGTATTCAAGGCTTTGAGGAGCTTCCTCCCAGACATCGAGGGTCGCCACGTCCTTATACGGACGGACAATACGTCAGTGGTGGCCTATCTGAACCGACAGGGGGGACTCAGATCGCGCCCTCTGTGCAAACTGGCGCATCAGATTATCCTTTGGTCCCAGGGAAAGATATTGTCAATAAGGGCAATGTATATCCCAGGGGTTCAGATTTGGGGAGCAGACGTCCTGTCGAGGCAGGGGCTGAGGCCCGGGGAATGGAGACTTCATCCGGATGTGGTGAAGTCGATATGGGAGAGGTTCGGACCGATGGAAGTGGATCTGTTTGCGTCTCGAGAGACGTCCCACTGTCCACTTTGGTTCTCCCTCTCACATCCAGCCCCGCTGGGGTTGGATGCCATGGTACAGGCTTGGCCGAGGCTTCGCCTGTATGCTTTCCCCCCGATCGCTCTGCTCCCAGGGGTCCTGGAGAGGGTCCGTCAAGAGGGCATCAGTCTACTTCTGGTTGCCCCGAGATGGCCGACACGAGTATGGTTCTCGGATATAATATCACTCCTCATAGCTCCGCCATGGCCGATTCCTCTGAGGAGGGATCTATTGTCTCAGGCGGAGGGCACAATCTTCCACCCTCGCCCAGAGTTGTGGAAGCTGTGGGTCTGGCCTCTGAGGGGGTTCAGTACCTAAATGCTGGCTTATCAGCTGAGGTGGTTGAAACCATACTTAGCTCTAGGGCCCCATCTACCAGGAGATTATATGGCCTCAAGTGGAAGGTGTTTCACACTTGGTGTGGAGAACGAAGGTTGGATCCAGTAAACTGCCCAGTGGCTTCAGTTCTGGAATTCCTTCAGGATCGTTTCTCTGCGGGTCTCTCCCCGTCCACTCTTAAGGTGTACGTGGCTGCCGTTTCGGCTTTCCACGCGCCAGTAGATGGTGGACCTCTGGGGAGGCACCAATTGGTCATTAGGTTTCTCCGTGGTGCTTGGAGGATGAGGCCGGCGATCAGGTCCAGGGTGCCTGCCTGGGATCTGGCAATAGTTCTGGAAGGGTTGTCCCTCGCTCCCTTCGAACCTTTAGAGTCGGCTTCGCCTAAGGACTTAACGCTGGAAATGGTCTTTCTCTTAGCGATTACCTCTCTTAAGAGGGTGGGAGATCTCCAGGCCCTGGCGGTAACGCCAGCTTGCTTGGAGTTTGCCCCTGGCAAAGTAAAGGCCTTTTTGCACCCGAGTCCGGGCTACGTGCCTAAAGTTCCTTCGAGTACGGCTCGCTCTGTAGTCCTTCAGGCATTCCATCCTCCACCTCATGTGTCGGCGGGAGAAGAGAGGCTTCACTTGCTCTGCCCCGTCAGAGCTTTGAGTGTATACTTGGAAAAGTCTGCTTCTTGGAGAAGATCTGACCAGTTGTTAGTATGCTTTGGGTCACCTAAGAGGGGGCTCCCGGCGACCAAACAAACTATAAGTAACTGGATTGTCCAGGCTATTACTGAGGCTTACAAGGTGCGTGGGGTTCCTTCACCTTTGGCCTTAAGGGCTCACTCGACTAGAGGCATGGCGTCCTCTAGGGCCCTTCTGTCGGGAGTACCTCTGCAGGAGATTTGTGAGGCAGCCGGCTGGGCTACCCCGCATACTTTCATCAGGTTTTACAGTCTCAGCCTTCCCAGTACGCCCGGTGCACACGTACTCGGCCCTTGCTGAGTGCCTAATCAGTTTCACTCTGGGGCGGGTCTGTTCGGTGCGTGGCCTAGTGGGTACTCGTTCCCCAAAGAGTCGATTTTATCGACGCAGTGTTGAGTTCCCTCGATAGGGAACGTCTCGGGTTATGACTATAACCCTTGTTCCCTGAGAAGGGAACGAGACACTGCGTCGTGTTGCCACGCCCCCTTTTCAGACCCTTGAGCGTCTTGCTTCATCGCGAGGCTAGTGTGTGTTGTGACAGCGTCACTTTTATACTTCCGGGTATGCCGTCACATGTTACGTCACGACGCAACACCAATCAGGATTGGATTAGTTTCATTCATACTTCAGAGGCGCACGCTTAGGGAGCGTCCCCAAAGAGTCGATTTTATCGACGCAGTGTCTCGATCCCTTCTCAGGGAACAAGGGTTATAGTCATAACCCGAGACGTTTTCTTGGCACACTTTAGGGCCCTCGGTGCCAATTGGGCATCGTTTAAATACCACGGCCTACCTGAGCATTGTTTCTGACCATGTCCATCCCTTTATGGCCACCATGTACCCATCCTCTGATGGCTACTTCCAGCAGGATAATGCACCATGTCACAAAGCTTGAATCATTTCAAATTGGTTTCTTGAACATGACAATGAGTTCACTGAACTAAAATGGCCCCCACAGTCACCAGATCTCAACCCAATAGAGCATCTTTGGGATGTGGTGGAACGGGAGCTTCGTGCCCTGGATGTGCATCCCATGAATTTCAATCAACTGCAAGATGCTATCCTATCAATATGGGCCAACATTTCTAAAGAATGCTTTCAGCACCTTGTTGAATTAATGCCACATAGAATTAAGGCAGTTCTGAAGGTGAAAGGGGGTCAAACACAGTATTAGTATAGTATGGTGTTCCTAATAATCCTTTAGGTGAGTGTATATAGTGCTTTTTTACAATACAGACTGTTTCAAATCAGCTTTACAGAGATAACAGGAAAATAATGCAACAAAGTTTGTTTCCATAAAAAATAGCATCTCAGTCTAGCTTAAGTAAGTTCAGTGATGGTTCATTTTTGTTGTAAAAAGTTACATAAATACCGTGATGTCATTGTCCAGCTCAGTTCAGTTCTCATTTAATGGTGTCAATGCAGGCAGATCAATATTATTGTTGAATATTAAATTAAATGTTAATTGTGATGTTCCCAAGTAAGCAAGCCAAAAGCCAAGTCTGCTATTGTTCCATTACTGACCTTAATATGTAGTGTTTGATTATATGCAGTGCATTACCTCAAACTCTTCAGATAGAAGGTAACTGGAATCAGCTTGCAGTTTAGCAAGATGGGACTCAAAGTGGGCTGCTTGCACTGGGCTAGTACATAATTGAGACAATTCACAATCAATAACATGAATGCATATAATAATAAATCATTACTATAAACATAAATTAAGTATTTTGGTACCTCCTTATGCCTGAGCACATCTGTGAGTTAGGCAAGGCCTTCCACATGCACATTTTCATTACTGGACTTTCCTGCACAGCTCTTAAAACACAGACACAAATACTCATCAGCACAGTAATAAACAATATGGGTTAAAACAAGTGTGTGTGTGTGTACTCATACATTTTGTGAGCTCTCTTTCTGTAAATCAGTAAGGCAGACACAGCGAGCACCATAGCGACTAGAAATGTAGCAGCCGTGATTCCTCCTGTGAGGCCATTTCGTGGTGCTGAGTGACAAAAACATAAATGACAAAAATGTCACTATTTAAATAAAAAACAAAAAATAAGTTGGAGTTGTGACACAATGGTATTGCACATGGGATCCTGTTATGGGTCTGGCCTGTGTCGTGTTTTTTTTTTTCTCAGCAACCCTTAATTCAACTGCGCTGTCAATTCTAAACACTAAAAAGCACATAAATAAAGATAACAGTGTCTTACCTGATAGAGTTAATAGTGGGAGGGAGAGGTAAGTGTCGGTGTAAAGGGGATGTGCAAATTCTCTGTTTTCTTCATCAAACAGTTGAGTGAAGGCACGAACACTTAATCTGAGACAGTAAAGTGTGAATACATTTAGAGTTACATGATCTTAAACCTGTCTGTGTTGAAACTTGAACAATTATAGAGAATTCGAATTCTGTCATCATTAACCCACCCTCATAATGTTCAAGACCTGTGACTTTCTTTCTTCTGTGGAACATTAAAGGAGATGTTAAGCAGAATGTTCTGGCTGCTCTTAAGGTGCAGTCACATTTACTGCTGCAACCTGCTCAGCCAAATGCAGTCATTTGAATAGAAATCCACGGGTTCGGGTGTAACGCTGAGTGCTCTCAGAGACGAGCAAAGGCAGGATTCAAGTGACTGTTGTGGTGCCGGCATACTTTTTAGAGGAAAACTCAATGGAGCTTAGAAGCTTAACTACAGAGGTTGGGTGTCACTGGCTGCGGTGAAGGGGAATCGGGTTATTGAATCGAGGGGAGATGTCTGCGTCTGGGGGGGGTCTGTTGGTTGTGCTCACTAGCAGTTGTGGATCGGCCCCCTGACCTAGAGTTTAGAGCAAATGTACGGTGACATTATTGACTGAGCTAAATGTATTGTTATTAGTACTCTATTGTCACTATTGTTGTGGATTGCTAGAGCCAATGCTACTATTGTTGTCATGAATATTGTGAATAACACTATCATTGATACTACTACCACTAATACTAATATTAATATATTATTGTTGTTTTTGTGATTGTTGGGGTGATTATTACCTTCACTAGAATTGTACTGTGATAGACCGGATTGCCCTATCTATACTTGCGTCACAGAAAGGATCTTGTGTGGCTACATACACCACTTACACACACTGACTGTGTTGGGCTGTTTTGTATTTTGTTGCTTTTGTTTTGTTTTTGTGCTTTTTTCCCTCTTCTGTATTGTATGTGTGTCACTGATTTTTACCTTGTGTGTGTTACTGTTTTGTTAATTTGCATTCATTCCCTACATTCGTTCACTCGTTTATACCCACAATGCACTCTGATTTCGAGCGTACATCCGATGCACCATTTCCCAAAATCCAATGTGAAGAGGACTGAGAGAGCGGACAGGAGAGCTTGAGCGAGTGAGTTTGAACAAGAGATGCAGTTTGCAACTTTCTTTCTAATATAATATATATTTCAGGCTGGTTCTAGTTTTTCAAAAATGTATGAATACTTACTTGATTATAACATTAAAATATAGAGAGACAATAACAGATGAATTTAAAATTTAAATTAAAAATTAAATTAATAAGGTAAAATTGTTTTATATTATTTATTTGTATTAAATTATATTATTTAGGCATTAACTCAAATCAATGTTTGTATCACTGTAAGTAGGAGAGGACAATTTAGTGGATGGTCTTCATTAATCACATGTAGGTAGTGTATTCATGCAAATGTAATAATATCCTGGTCACCTGGAACCAAAAATAATAAATTTTTATTATTGTATAATGATGTACAGTTGATACTTAGGCCCATCGCTCTTGCTGGAGCATAGGCCATCGACAAACATTGTATTCTTAATAATGTGTGTTTAATCTTGTTTGCAATTTTTTAAGACTATTTAATGATTATGAAAAACAAATTTAGCATGACAAACCAAATTAATATTTATTGTATTAATACAATCGATGAAACTGGCAGGAATGTTTAATTATAGTATAAAACATTATGATTGTTATTAATATTAATTTATTAATATTCATTTCTAAATCAAGTTACATGTAAGATAAAAACAAGTCGCTTCAGTGCAGGCTCGGAAAAATTGCGAATCGAGGGTGCATATCGTCCACAAAAGGGGCAATTGCAAGCACTTTTTAAAACCTAAATGACAAATGGGACCACAAGGCCGAAAGTGCATATGAAGTGTGCCATTTGGGACAGGGCTATATAGTGCACTCAATTTCAAATGTCATACACAACATAGGGATTAGTGAATTTCACAATTACAGACACAGCTGAGACAGGCGCTGAGGCGCATGCAAAATCATGTATTAGCGACTTATACTACAGGCTGGGATCTTTAGCATCCTTGTTAGTGTACCCGTCTCCTCCACCAGTCCAAGCACAGCTCGGAGAGGGGCAAGTAGGACTGGAGGGGTTACACATGCACTGAATGTGAATAGGGACAAATGTCATTTATATAACATTTAAATCACTTTTTGATCATATTTAGAATTTTCCGGAACCCATTACCATTCACTTTAACTCTACGAAAAAGTGCACCATGAACATTTTGCTAAACATCTTTTCTGGTGTTCCAAAGAAGAAGGAAAGTATGATGGTGAGTAAATTATGACAGTTCAGAAGTGATATTCACAATAAAAAAACAAACAACAACAAAAATTTAATTAGCAATTTAGATGCTAAATGAAAAACTTGTTACGCTACATTGTACATTTTTTTAAAGCAAAGATAAAATTATTTGTACTAAAACATATTGAAGATGAGCTTAATAAACACTTTACTGTTTACAACCTTAAATGTAAGACAGAAACTAACAGCAGTACCGATATGATGTTCTGGGCTTGAGCGGTCCGTCACAAAGATGCGTTCCATGCTGGATAGATTCTGGATCCCATTTGCAAGCTCCCCCCAAACGTTTCATCCCTGCTCCGAGGTTTATCTCAAAAACACGGATCTTGCTGTCAGACCCCTCTGCACACAGGCTGTGAAAGTAGCCTGTCTGGTATGTTTTGATAGAGTGGTTTTGTCTGTAGTCCAGATAAGAAGGCAGAGGATGTCTCTGCTCCGGCAGGACATTATCAACACCTGTAAATGAAATGAGACTGGATTTGGTTTCTTACATTTAGATATAATCATGGATAATTAATGAATTGCATAATTTCAAATTCAGGAAAAATTGACGTTAAAATGACTGGTACCATTTGACTCTGTGACGATTATTGAGAAGAAACGAATGGCCCCATTAGCATCACTGAACCAGCTGCAGTTGAAATTAAACAAGATGGTGAAAGGGGTGATGACCGTGGACCGCTCATTGACCCGTACTGTCATCGGTGGAATGGGGGGCCCTGAAAAATACATATTAAACTGCTGAGATTCTGTTGTAGCATTTTGGCCACTTGGGTACATCTGGGTATATCTTATATTAAAAATAAAATTAAAATCGGACGAAAACTGCACAGTGAATGCCCAGCCATAGCTTTCCAGTTTGTTAATTACAGTAGTTCATCAAAGTTTTCCTAAGACACATTCAAAAATTCATGTATAACTTTGATGAAAGGTTTTGATCCACTTCAAATGTTGACTACTGTAGTTCAGTCACCCTCATCGTGCCTGTTTGTGTCTATGGTTTCTGATTGATTTGGCTATTCTATTCAGGTGTGTCTCATTAATTAACTCATTAGCTCCTTTATTTGCCCTCATGTATTTAAGCCTTGTCCATGTCTTTTATCTTGTCCATGTCTTGCTTGTTGTTATTTGATGTCAGTGTCTTTGTGTTTCCTTTCCTATTTATAGATCTGATTCTTGGATTAAAGATTTATTTTGAATATCTCCTTTGTTGTGTGCTTCATTACAGCTGCCAACCGTGACAATCTGTCAGTGCAAGTTGAGTTCAGTTAAAACTGCTCAAACATGCATTTCAGTCTGGGTCAAGGCTTAAACCTTGTGTGTGAATCTAGGGGATTGTGTTCTAAAACAACTCAAAATGTCAAACGAATTTGATATCACTTTGACTGGACAAAAATTATAGTTTTACAGTAAAAAATCAAAGTATTTGAAATGTGTAAACTCCAACTGCCCAAAACCTGCAAACTGGCTCTGACCTCTCGCTACTAGCATTGACTCAGCTAGACTGCAAATCAGAGTAGAAATCTGTGTAAAAGTATAGTGTAGTCCAGCCTGAACTCGCAATTCTTTCATTAAAATCTGTGTTGTAGAAAAGGCTGTTTTATTCTACCCTAAATGGTGCCATGTTGAGATCAGATTATACATTAACAATTATGTTAATGTATAATCTGATCTCAACATAATATATATATTTATATATTTATATATAATATATATTTATAATTAATATAATTTAATTTAAAATAATTGGCAAAGTGACCAAAAGTCATTCATGAGAGTTTGTGATTTCAAGTAGAATGAGCAAGATTGCGTTCTACTGTCACTTACTGTCAATCATAGTGATAACGCTGTTTGTTGTGGTCAAACTCTGCTTATCTCCAGACATCACTGTGATGTAAAAGGTGTAGTTTCTGAAGGGTTCCAGCCTGTCAAAATGCTGCAAAAGAGCATCGTGTGCCAGAGTGTAAGTGTACACCGGTGTCCTGGAGCCCTGTTTGTGGCATTCCACAACATAAGAGTCATAATCGGACTGTGGAGGTATCCAGGAACAGGAGACAGAGGTGGAGCTTAAGGGGAAACAGTGGAAGCTTGCAGTTGACTGTGGAGCTGTAGAGAAAAATAAACCTTTTAGAAATCTCTTGACTAATCTCTTATCTAAAACTATTTACAAAGTTTAATATTTTACTTTTTTTAACAAATATTCACAGATTCCAAAACATTTGGATTGGTTCATCCCAGTGACTCAGTTTTGATTCTGTTCACCAAAACGACTCATTAAGATTTATTCTCGGCTTCAATCGGTTACTCTTGTTGGGTACATCAATACAGTCTTGTTTTAAATATAATGAGTATGTCCAATTATTACTTTTTTTCTTAAAAATCATGACAATAAATTTAAAGAATTAACTCCTGTAATCAAAATCAGAGCTGATTCCAAAAAAATCTGAAATCAAAGAGCCAAATGCAAAACAAAACCCACAGTTCCCTATCGGTCAGTCACTACAACGTAGGTCATGTCTGACCAATAGGAATCTCGCTAGAGATACAAACTACTTCAAGTGAAACTAAAACAAGCCAATGCACATTGGCGTGCAATCATTTGCATCAGCTGTGCAGCCTCGCACTGTGGGTATTGAACGAGCAGCTGTTGTGATTGCACACTAGCTTTTTGCTTCAGAGCCAAACGCTTCATGTTTACTCTACAGAGTATGACTCTACGAGCCTCTTCGTTGGATCTCTCATTATCCGGTGTGGGCGTTACAGCACGGCAGTGCGAGCAGTCTTTTATGTCCTCTCTCTTCTGTCTTTGTCTTTTTGTTTATCTTTTGAGGAAAATTCAAAAAGCTGTTGTAACAGCTGGTAAGACCTGCCAGCGAGAGAGAGACAGAGCACAGACTGCACATTTCCATCTGTGTTTGCAGTGACTGTTCCCCTGCGTGTTTCAGCACCAGTGAGAATAGTCCTTAAAAGAGCTTACACAGATAGAGAGCGTCTTTGTAAAGATGACTTTCTATCTGTGTGTTTCTGGATGCGGTCGTTACCTGGGCTCACAGGATGGTCACAAACGCTGCCTCGTGTGTCTGTGCATTAAACACGCTGAGGCAGCGTTTGTGGATGAGTCATGTACCCATCGTGGGAAGATGACCATCGCGGAGCTACGGCCGAGACTCTTGTTCCTGCAAAGGGGCAGAGTCCACGTGCCTCTGCCTCGATCCAATCCTCCTCAGAGGGGAGGCTCAGGTAGACCTGTTTGTCTCCTCAGAGACCTCCCAGCTGTTTTACTCCGTGACCGAGGGAACACTCGGCACGGACGCACTGGCACACAGCTGGCCCTGGGGTGTTCGCAAATATGTGTTTCCCCCAGTGAGCCTACTTGCGCTGACACTGTACAAAGTCAGGGAGGACAAGGTCCTTTTGGTGGCTCCCTTCTGGCCCACCTGGACTTGGTTCCCAGAACTCATGGTCCTTGTGACAGTCCCTCCCTGGCCCATTCCTCTGAGGAAGGATCTTCTGACTCAAAGATGGGGCACCCAATGGCACCCGTGTCCAGACCTCTGGAAACTCCATGTTTGGTCCCTGGATGGGACGTGGAGGTTCTAGGTGACTAACTCCTAGAGGTACTTAACACCATCACTTCAGCACGAACATGTTCGTCGAGTGGTGTTATGCTCGCCAGGAGGACCCCTGAAGATGTTCGATAGGGTCTGTGCTTTCCTTCTTGCAGCAAGGGTTGGAGCGAAGACTGTCTCCCTCCACCCTCAAAGTTCATACTGCCGCTATTTCAGCTTATCACAACCACATAGATGGCAAAACAGTTGGAAAGCACAACCTGGTCGTCAGGTTTATTAGGGAGGCGAGATGATTAAATCCTCCTCGACCCCCCCTCCATAACCTCTTGGGATCTTTCCCTGGTGCTCCGAGCACTTCAGGACGTTCCCTGTGAGCCTCTGCAATCAGTAGACTTAAAGCTTCTTTCAAGAGGGTAGGAGACCTGCTTGCATTTTCGGTCGACGAATCGTGCCTAGAGTTCGGACCGGGTGACAACTAGGGATGCACCGATACCACTTTTTTGGAAAACGAGTACGAGTACGAGTACTTGCATTTCAGTACTCGCCGATACCGATACCGAGTACTTAATAAAAAAACAAAAAAAACATGATTTAAATATTTTTATATACGGGTTTTTAGGTCCTTGATTAAATTACTTGGGTAACACTTTATTTCGATAGTCCACTTTACTAACTATAAGTAACTTTTCAATTACATGTCAACTAACTGTCATTAGAGTATTAGTAGACTAGAGTATTAGTACGATCAGCTTAATATCTGATAACACTTTATTTATTTGGTCCCCCAACAGACATTCAACTGACTATAAGTAACTTGGCGACTACAAGTAAACTTATTCTCCTAATCCAAAGCCATTCACTTTGAAATTGTTCCACACCAGTGATGCACGGGTTGATCCAAAATGAGCGGGTGCCTGCGCCGCGGTCACCCGCGGTTACCCGCAGTTACGGGTCATCCAAAAATATTTTTAATGATATTTGGGTCGCGGTCGGTCAGGTCGTTTGGAAAAAAATGCCAATTAAACCTTTGTATTTATATAGTACTAGATAGAATTTTCTATGAAATATATAGGCCGAATTTATTTATTGGCTGAATAACTGGCACGAAGATGACACACAAGCTCAGTCTAAACAGTTCTCAGTTCTGTACTGGTGTGATCCGAGAACCGCTGTACCTCTGCGTTCATTACTACGCGGATGCGCAGTATCAGCAGTATCAACAACATGTCTCAGTTCAGTGAACTGTTAGAGTTACTGGAGTAAAATATAATTCGGGATATTGGTTTATTTCAACTCGGAGGGACTGTCAGGCATGTCTGAAAGTGAGTAACTGTAGTACCTTGTGGATCAGCACTGACGCAAGACGTGAACTGATGCGAATGATTCAGTTCGATTTAGCGTACTGGTTCGACCGGTTCATTAAAAAGAACCGATTCGTTCACGAACCGGCCATGTCTATGATCACTAGTCTGCAGAGAGATGGAGGCGGCAAGAGAAAAGGTGAAGACTGGGGAGTGGAAGCTCCGCAAATACACAAATAGAAAGAGTAAGTGTGGGAGACATTTACCGAAATAATGAAAGATGATGACCAAAGTGCTGCCTTTGTTATATGTAGGCTACGTCTTCTTGCGATGCTGTGTTGTTACACGTTTATGGCCCAATGACGCTACGATGAGCATGTACTACTTTTAAAAAATACGGTCAGGAAGAAGGTCGGGTACAATATTTTCTTACTTTTTTTGCGGTCCGAGTAGCGGGCGGGTAGTTGAAAACGTTGGTAGTGTGCGGGTTGTTTATACATTGACCCGCGCATCACTGTTCCACACGGCTGACATGTCTCCCCATCTCCCCGCTCTGAGCTGCAGCTGGAGCCTGGGGGTGGGCACTCGGTGCCTGTGATTAACCCATTTCTCAGAACATGGTATCGGTCCCCGGTATCGGGGGACTTTTAACGAGTACGAGTACTTTAGAAAATGTGGTATCAATTTTTCTTTTCAGATACCGGTATCGGTGCATCCCTAGTGACAACCATGTGGTATTAACCCTTTCACACGTAAGCGCGGAATGAATGACGACCTGCTTTTATGTAATTTTTCTTGTTTATTAATAATATTCATAAATGTATTAGCTATAGCATGAAACACTGATATTCCGATTGTCAAATATGTGCAAGTGGATGGGTTTTGTTGTTTAAGCATCTTTATAACAATCATGTTAGTTGAGCTGTATGCACAATGGGTGGCGTGGCGCCATTTTAGTTTCTTTTTCAGTTCAGAGAATCGGATCTGTTGGATTTACAACATCAATTCCTCCACTTCTCATGAAATACATGATAGTAAGTGGCTGGTGAACTGGGAGAAGAATAGGATCAAATGTTAAGCTACTTACACAATGTGTATCTGATATGAATAAAACATTGTTGTCTTATTATAATTGAAAGGATTATTATTGCCGCTTCCATAGACATCCGTGTGTATTTTACAAACTCAAAATCATTGTTTTGCTAGTACTTATGTGTATTTAAATGTCTGAAAACTAAAATAAATATTATGTGGTTGAAAACACTCAATAGTTGTGATATATGACCGCACTGAGTGCATCTGGCTCAGCGCCAACCAACGCCCGAGAGCAAGTTTGAATTTAGCAGTTGCTGACGTGATGCACTGACCGTTCTTATCACACCGGTGTGACCGTACGCTCCAGGGACCAGCCAAGACTGATCACACCGCGTGAAAGGGTTAAGACCCTGGCCTGGCTTTGTGCCCAAGGTTCCTACCACTCCCTTTAAAGACCAGGTAGTGAACCTGCAAGTGCTGCCCTTGGATGAGGCAGACCCAGCCCTGGCTTCTCAAGCAGAGGATGGCCCACTGGATAGTGGATCCCATCGCCTTGGCTTACCAAGCTCAAGACAAAACCTGCCCGCTCAGGTTGCATGCACACTCCACGAGAGGTGTCGCATCCTCCTAGGCGCTGACTCGTGGCGCCTCGCTAACAGATATCTGTAGAGCTATGGGCTGGGCGACACCTAACATGTTCGCTAGATACTATAGCCTATGTAAGAGCCGGTCTCCTCCTGTGTTCTCACCCTAAACAGGTAGAAGCACCGAGAGGCCCGGCTCTGTCGTCTTGCTGCACCATACTGTGCACCCTTATTACTCCAGAGTGAAAAATCTGTTGAGTCCTCCAAAACCCCTCGGCCCAGACATGGCGGAACGTCCGCTGCCAGGCCTTTATCCGCTGATAAAGAGCCGGATTCGATCGTGTGACCCTACGGGGATCCCATATGTTTATATTCTCCACGGCTGCTCCTAAGAGGGAAGCCTGTGTCTTTCCCTTAGGCTAAAGTTCCCATTATTTAAATACTGTATGATATTAAACTGGATAAACACTCACGGGTTCTGACAGTGTGGTAAACAGGACTGCTGTAGGTCACAGGACTGTCTGTCATCCCACTGACAGTCCGAAGGCTGATATTATAGAGCCGCCCTGGATGAAGTCCGTCCAAGATACGCTGAGTGGAATGATTACCAGTAACCTGAAGTGTGTCCTGAGGAAACCACGTCACTTCAAAATCATCATAGTCTCCTGTATATGGGACATGCCACTTTATCTCCACTGAGCTGGTTGAGCTGCTGACGGACATTGATGATGGTGGTGCAGGAACTGTTTTGATATAATAGGAGAAATTTAGCTTTCATAACTGTTGTGCATTGCTTGTGCTTTGGTTTTAGCAAAATTTCCAAGCTGCTTTATTTGACGAAAGCTGTCTTGCTGAGCTCCAAAAAGGTCACAAATCAGTATAAGCATGATTACGTGATAAAAGTTTCATTAAAGTTTCATTAATATGACTTGGTTACTATATTTCAAGTTTTTAAGGGAGCATCAGATCCAAGTTTAAGTTATTAATCACAAAAAAGGAGAGTTGCAGTGGAGAATAGAGGAGGATTTTCAGTACAGAATAAATGGTTGCATACTGTTTTAAATCAAGTAATATTTAAAAAAAAAATCTAAAGAGACATTATCACTTATCAAATTCAATAGCCGATTTCAGACCATCACTATTGCATTAGATAAGTGATAATGTGAAACGTTAATTTGAGGCTTTCTGACTTGCAGCACCACTGACCTGTGCGCCCTACTGCAGTCGTAGTGTTGGTCAGATTTTCACTCCAGGTCTGAATCTTAGCAGGATAAAGTCGACCAGCCACTAGTCTGTGGAAAACCACCTGAGTGCTCTCTGGACCCAAATGCTGCTCAAAGCCATCAACAGAGACTGAATATCTGGTAAGTGCTCCAGGGCCACGTGTCCAGCTCAGAAGAAGACTGTCCATTTGACCCTGATTCTCAACATGCAAGTCTATGACTGAGGCAGGAGCTGGGGAAACAAACAAACAAATAAGCTTTGTCAAACATTTAAACAAAGGCCATTTCCAGTTTTTAAAATTGGTAAACTAGTAAAAATTGGTCAACTAGTCAAAAAAAGTTGTTATATTTTTTATTTCAGTTTAGTTTTAGTTAGTTTAGTTACGATCTTAGTTTGTTTGTAATTGAAAAATAATAAGTTCGCTTTCGAGTGGAACTTGAAGCCGTGTTGTTGACACTAGACTTGTAGTCAAGACCGCCTAAACCGAGGCCAAGACACTACCAAGACCAGGGGGTATCGAGACCAAGACCGAGACCAAGTCGAGACCGGAGGGGAAAAAAACAGACTAGTGTTGTTGAGCTAAGCAATAACTTGTAAGATTTTGTTTTGCATTGCCTGCCTATCTCTGCTGATTTCGAAATCTCCAAATGAATCCTTTCTGCAACTTTTAAATACATAGTTATATTTTTAAAAATGAAATTATAAGCTTAAGTGCAGGATCCGAAAGTTGGTCGTTTTGTCACTATGGTTACACACACACACACACCATTGCGATTAATGTCATCTGTAAGCAAATCTCCTGAATGAAGTTAAAACCATGTCACATACTGTATGTGTTTTACTAAATATTAATACATTAAAAACTGTACATGATATGTGTTTTTTAAATCAAGTGATTATAACTGTTGTCACGTAGTGGTTTTGTGTGTTTATGTTATTAGTTATTGCCGGTCTATTATTTATCCCAGGTGTTTCTCATTTCTCACGCCCCCTTGTTATCTTGTCTAGCTCGTTTGTCCTTGATTATTTAAGCCCTGTGTTTCTGCCCTGTCTTTGTTGGTTGTTTGAATTTATGTGTGTTGCGTTGGTGCTTTCACGTCTCTCGAGTCTTGCTTCTAGTGTCTTGTTTTAAGTTTGTTTAATAAAGCTACACTGCGTTTGGACCCAGCCTCAGCTCTGTTTCTCCGCACAGCGTCACAGAATAACCAACCCCAATATGGGTCCAGCAGTCGTCAGCAACCGGGCTATGATAGAATACCTGTCGTCAGTCTTGCAAGAGGGCCGGTCTGTCCAAAGGTACGCGAAGGAGTTCCTGTCCATTAGCAGTCTGGGAGCGCTAGATGATATCCAGCTCATGGGCCTGTTTCTGAATGGGCTGGATTATGAGATCGCTCGATGGATGCCGCGGGACCTTGCCAACTGGACTCTTGACGGGTATGTCGCTCGGGCTTGTTCCTTGCAGGACCTCTTCACTACTGCGCGCTTATTCTACTCGACACCTGCCGGGTGTACTTTACCCGCGAAGCCCTCGTCGTCTTCACCGCTGGTTCACGTCAGTCACGACGAGCCCGCGCTTCACGTGCGCATTGACGAGCCTGCGACTCACGTCAGCCCAGCCGAGTCCGCGACTCACGTCAGCCCAGCCGAGCCTGCGCTTCACGTCAGCCCAGCCGAACTCGCGATTCACGTGAGCCCCGCGAGGGAATCTCCTGTTCAAGTGGATGAATCTCCAGTTCAAGTGGATGAATCTCCAGTTCAAGTGGATGTGTCTCCGGTTCAAGTGAGTGAATCTTCAGTTCAAGTGAGTGATCCTGTTCAAGTGGATGAATCTCCTGTTCAAGTGGATGAATCTCCAGTTCAAGTGAGGGCTGAGTCTCCTGTTCAAGTGAGTGAATCTTCAGTTCAAGTGAGCGAGTCTCCTGTTGAAGTGAGTGAGTCTTCAGTTCAAGTGAGTGCCGAATCTCCTCTTCAAGTGAGCGCCGAATCTCCTCTTCAAGTGAGCGCCGAATCTCCTCTTCAAGTGAGCGCCGAATCTCCTCTTCAAGTGAGCGCCGAATCTCCTCTTCAAGTGAGCGCCGAATCTCCTCTTCAAGTGAGCGCTGAATCTCCTCTTCAAGTGAGCGCTGAATCTCCTCTTCAAGTGAGCGCTGAATCTCCTCTTCAAGTGAGCGCTTAATCTCCTCTTCAAGTGAGCGCTGAATCTCCTCTTCAAGTGAGCGCTGCATCTCCTCTTCAAGTGAGCGCTGCATCTCCTCTTAAAGTGAGCGCTGCATCTCCTCTTCAAGTGAGCGCTGCATCTCCTCTTCAAGTGAGCGCTGCATCTCCAGTTCAAGTGAGTGAGTTGTCCAGCCCAGCGAGTGTGTCTAGCCCTGTGACGCGCCGCCGCAGGAGGAGGAGAAGGAGGACTCGTTTGGTTCGCCAGGCCCCGGTGGGCGTGCCCAGGCTCCTCGCTCTGCCGGCCCCGCCTCTGCGCCTCGCTCTGCCGGCCCCGCCTCTGCGCCTCGCTCTGCCGGCCCCGCCTCTGCGCCTCGCTCTGCCGGCCCCGCCTCTGCGCCTCGCTCTGCCGGCCCCGCCTCTGCGCCTCGCCCTGCCGGCCCCCGCCTCTGCGCCTCGCTCTGCCGGCCCCGCCTCTGCGCCTCGCTCTGCCTGCACCCATCAAGCTCCGGGAGGCCTTTCCTGTACCCGTTCACCACCCAGAGGTTCCTCCCGGGAATTTCCCCAAGTATTTTTTGGGGGGGGGCAGTAGGTACCCTGTGAGGGCCATGGAGGCGATGCAGACATGGATCTCGCCTCGTCCTGCTCCGCCCTGGCCTTCGCCTCTTCCTGCTCCGCCCTGGTCTCGTCCTGCTCCGCCCTGGCCTTCGCCTCTTCCTGCTCTGCCCTGGTCTCGTCCTGCTCCGCCCTGGCCTTCGCCTCTTCCTGCTCCGCCCTGGTCTCTTCCTGCTCCGCCCTGGCCTCTGCCTCGTCCTGCTCCGCCCTGGCCTCTGCCTCGTCCTGCTCCGCCCTGGCCTCTGCCTCGTCCTGCTCCGCCCTGGCCTCCGCCTCGTCCTGCTCCGCCTTGGTCTCCGGCCCAGTCTGGTATGCCCATGCTCTGCGGCCCAGGCCCGCCTTGGCTACCTCCTGGTCCTGTTCCCCTGCACGGGCCTGGCCCTCCGTCCCTCCCCCAAGACTGTCTCCGCTTCACCGCCCTCCTGAACTTTTTGAGGTTTGTATGGGCGTCGGGAGCCACCCATAGGGGGGAGGCTATGTCACGTAGTGGTTTTGTGTGTTTTCGTTATTAGTTATTGCCGGTCTATTATTTATCCCAGGTGTTTCTCATTTCTCACGCCCCCTTGTTATCTTGTCTAGCTCGTTTGTCCTTGATTATTTAAGCCCTGTGTTTCTGCCCTGTCTTTGTTGGTTGTTTGAATTTATGTGTGTTGCGTTGGTGCTTTCACGTCTCTCGAGTCTTGCTTCTAGTGTCTTGTTTTAAGTTTGTTTAATAAAGCTACACTGCGTTTGGACCCAGCCTCAGCTCTGTTTCTCCGCACAGCATCACAACTGTGAAGCTGCTTTGATACAATCTGTATTGTATTGTAAAAAGTGCTATATAAATGAAGGTGACTTGACTTGATGTCCACACATTTGGCCAATCAGATTGGCACGTTTAGACACATACTTCAGACACGGGTTCCTGCAGCGGCATTCCCATAAGCATCAATTTCACGAGACGTTTTTATACATATGTTAGCACACATTTAGCAACAGTTTAAGTTTTTTTTTTATTCTTTTGCATTATAACTACTGACTGAAGTGCTAAACTTGTGCTATATTGAAGGTAGAAAAGTCACTAAAAAAATCCATGGGCCAAGTATTGATTCTTAATAAAGTTTCTAAAACCTATGAAGAGTGACAGAGTGTTTTTTTGCGGAGAGCAGGGAAATGCCGTGAAGCATTTTAACTAGGAAACATTCCTAATTCCTTAATATTGAGAAGAGCTTCAGTATTCACCTGTACGTGCCCATATTGATGACTGACTGCTCAGCATCCCACTCCTGCTGAAGATCGTCATCGTATACAGCATTCCTGGCAACAGGTTTGTGAAGGACCAGTTCAGAGCATCTTTTCCCAGTTTCACGTGAGACTGTACGGTCTTGTCCAGATTGTACAGATCAAGATCATACCCGTCCACTCGGCCCTCTGCTGCACCCCAGCAGAATGAAAGCTCGCTGCTTGTGTTGGAACATATGTGCAGTCCGGTCACTGCTGCTGGACCTGAGGAGATTTGGAGAACAGGTTTTGTAAACTGTCTTGTCATCATTGATCGATAAAGACTTTTATCTTTTTTTCTGTGTTTGTTTGTATTTATATGTGTGTATTTGAATATTATTCAATTTATCAATTTATCTAAGTTACATTTAGATTACCGTTGCTGTCATGTAAGACTCTCAATCTTTAAAGAGTAACTAAACACTAAACCAACTTAGTTAATTAATTAGTTAATTTAGTTAATGATCTGTAAGAATGGATCTTTATTAATACCAGTCATTGATTCAAGTAACTTTTTTGACATTTGTGAATAAAGTGTTTTAAAAAATTACTCTGTCCACGCCTTTTTAGAGCTGTCTTTAGTAAATCCTGACATTATTATTATTTTTTTAACGCCAAAAGATCTGGCACAAGCTGTTAGTAAATCTGGCGCTAAGAATTTTATTATCAGTGCTTCAAATGCAAGTGTTTGGTTTTATCTGTGGAATTAACTTGGCGCAAGTTATTACATTTTCACATTGCAAAGACATAGCATCTTACAGTGCAACAAAAAAAACATACGGATAAAAAACCATGTGCAGTGGTAAAATATGCACAATAGGAACAGGTTTTCACAAGCAAGTGATACATTCTCTAAACTTGTGGTACTAATATCACAACATCAAAAATGCACGTTTTTATATATATCAGCATTTTTTCAATTATGTTGATCGCAAAGCATCCTTTTTACTACAGATAATATGTGTTTAATCTATTCAACCTTTTAATTTGCAGTAGCTACCTTTCATAATACTATTTATTTTTTCATTTGCATACTTACTAAGAGTGAAAATATTACTACTATTAAAGCAAATAAAAATTAATTACATTTTAATTTTATGTTATTTTAAACACACAAAAGGTGCCTTACGTGTTTGTCCCTTAGTGGTGACGTCCTTGCTTTTGGCAGTGCCACTGATTGTCTGAACGTGTGCTTTGTACCACCTTCCTGGCGTTAAATTCTCAAACAGGTAGCTGTTGTTAGCGTTGAGCACAGAGGCATTGGCAATCACTCTGTCACTGTCATCTAGTAACTGGAGACTGTATCCATCAAAAATACCCACAGCTGCCGTCCAGCTCACCAACAGACTGTGTGTGCTCAGTTCATTATCTGCCCACAGGCCGGTGACTGTGGAGGGGTCTGAAACACACACACACACGCTTTAAGACTAGTTCCTGTTTCAAGCACTTGACAATATAATTTAATGAATCGAATTCATGAAGTGTTGTCTTTCCACTAGAAGTTCTTGTCCTGAAATGTAAACCACCATTAATATGTGTGCTTCTCACCGGTTCTTCCACTAGTTGTGCTGTTGTTCGTCTGAGTTCCACTGACCGACTGCACAGTAACTGAATAAAGTTGACCAGGTTCTAGGTTGTGAAATTCTGTCTGTGTGATGTGTTTAGGGACTTGTTTGGTGTCCTTGACATGTGTCTCCTGAAACAGAGACACTAAGTAGAAGTCCATGTCTCCATCACCAGAAGACCAAGAGGCTCTGAGACTGCGGTCTACGGTGCCAGCGCTCAGACAGACACTTTGGACCTGACTGGGCACTGGGTGGAATGATGGGGAAAAAAACAATGCAGCTGTTACACACAGGATATACAACTGTGGTGAAGATGATAATAATGTATGTTGACTCAAATCCTATCAGGTTCAACACCTAATTGAGTGTATATAATGTGTAAAATCTGTGATTTTTTTTTTAATTATGTGAAAAATCACATATAACCAATGCTAAATGCAATGCTATAATATTTAACATCATAATTAAAAGTACTATATTTAATTCTGAATCTCACAAAAAAAAATTTGCTCCACTTTTAAGTCAAAAAAATTATTTCATCAAAATGATATTTTTTATAAAGAAACTACAAAATAATAAAAAGTAATGTTTCACACTTCAAAGGTAATGGGACATTTAAAGTCACAACGAAATAAAAATGGACAATTGTTATTATTTATAAGAATTATAAAAATAAATTAAAGCTGCAAGCAGCGATGGGCGGGCCCTCGCACCTGTAGCGCGTCGGGGTGTGAGGCGGCCGCATTGCAAATTCTGGAGCTCAGCCGGTGCGGCTGTGAATTTGCTATGCTTCATTAAAGGTCACTTCCTGTTGCCACTAGGTGGCGCTATGACTGTGGGTGAATGTCAGCATGTAGATTTGTTCAGGGCGGGACTCTTGTCAAATGTGTTAAATTTCGTGCAGATCTGGGCATTTACAGCCAAGTTACTACAACTTCCTGTTTCATGGCGAATCATCGACGCCACGGACACGCCCATCGACGAAAATGCACAGATAGCACAACTTTACATCGTCAATGCCTTTAGAAGGTACAGCAGAAATTTGAAGTTGATCCGACTAAATCCCTAGGAGGAGTTCGTTAAAGTACGGAGTGTGTAAATCGTCCCAAAATGGCCTCCAAATTCAAAATGGTGGACTTCCTGTCAAGTTTAGGGCATCGCTCCAAGAGGCTTTTTTGTGCGTCTGGTCATAGTAGATGTACCACAGAAGTTTCGTACATGTTGGTCAAACAAGCGGCGTGGGCTGCTTCGTTTAAGGTCACTTCCTGTTGCCAGCAGGTGGCGCTATGACTGTGGGTGAATGTCAGCATGTAGATTTGTTCAGGGTGGGACTCTTGTCAAATGTGTAAAATTTGGTGCAGATCTGGGCATTTACAGCCAAGTTACTACAACTTCCTGTTTCATGGCGAATCATCGACGCCACGGACACGCCCATCGACGAAAACGCGCAGATAGCACAACTTTACATCGTCAATGCCTTTAGAAGGCACTGCAGAAATTTGAAGTCGATCCGACTAAATCCCTAGGAGGAGTTCGTTAAAGTACGGAGTGTGTAAATCGTCCAAAAATGGCCGCCAAATTCAAAATGACGGACTTCCTGTCGAGTTTATGGTATGGGTTCTTGAGGCTTTTTTGTGCGTCTTGATATGATACACGTCCCCACCAAATTTCGTGCATTTCGTTGCACGTGGACGAGGGGCTAATTTTTTCCAATTTTCTAGGTGGCGCTAGCGTGCCATTTTGCCACACCCATCCGCGAAACCCACAAAATACGACATTTTTCACCAGTCCTGACATGCGTGCCAAATTTGGTGAGTTTTTGAGCATGTTGCGGCCCCGAAAATGGCGCTTACTTTGCAGAAAAAAGAAAAAAGAAAAAAGAAAAAAAAAATAATCCTAACAGTTCCAATAGGGTCCTCGCACTGTTAGTGCTCGGGCCCTAAAAACAACGAAAACACAGTATTACTGTATTACAGAAACACAATTTAAGGCAGTGCAACAATGCAAATTCAAAACAAATATTCTTCATTTCTTTATGGAAAATTTTATATCTAACCTTTTTTTGATTTTTTTTTTTCTTTTTTTTACATTTTGAGATTACATTCAAGCAGTTGTAGCTACATGATAATGAAAAATCTTGCAGTACCTGTGCGGCCCTCAAGGATCTCGGCACGCTGGTATGACCCGCTGTGAGTAGACAGCACCATCTTGTAAAGCCGGCCTGGTGTGAGCATAGAGAACATGTGTTCCCTAACTGTGCTGTTCAGATTCACAGATGGTGACACCTGCGTGTCATTGAAGAGAATCTGAACCTCATAATTATCGACATCTCCTGGAGCAGACGTCCAATTCACCCTCAAAAAACTGCTTCCACGCTCCATCAGGGACAAATTACCCACAGCACCCGGGACTGAAGAACACAAGAGTGAAATAAGATTCATTTCATTGTAGTCCACTGATTACATGATTTTTAATGAGAGGTTGCAACAACATCAATGCTTGTTTCCTTATAATATGGTGAAGAGATACTCACATGTTCGTCCATGTATAGAGATTGTAGAGTTGTACTGCCCACTCCAAGTGCTGATGGTTACGGTGTAGAGACGTCCTGGAACCAAATCACTGAACAGACACTCGCTTTGTGTCTTATTGAGCTTCTGAGTTTGAAGACGTGTGCTGTTATACTCGATCGCCACTTCATAATAGTCATAATCCCCGGAGGCATGATTCCAGTAAACCTTCAGAAAGTCATCTCTGGCTGAGTGGATGGCGGTGGGGTTCTGGACCATGGATGGCCCTGAAAGAGTAAAAATGCAATTTCATTATTTTCATATTTTCAAAAATTATTATACCATAAACAATGTAAATATGAATTAATTTTTAATAATTAAATGGGTAACACAACTATTTTAAGGTGATGTAGTTACACATTACTAGATGTAGCCTACTTTCTATAGTAATAACAGTAAATGATGCATAATTACATGTACCTAACCCTAAATGAAACCCTAACTTTACTTTATTTATTGTTTGCTTTATTTATTTATTTATTTTCACAGGGACAATGCACAATTAAGAGTAATTACAGCTAATAATTGCAGTAATGAGATAGCTAACAGCTAATTTACATCTGCTGTTTCTGGGAATATACCGTGATATACTACCTTGATATATTAAGTACGTAGAAAATTAATTTTACTCAATTCTTAATCAAATTACTTATTCAAGCTTCTTACGAATAAATCTGCAGCACTACACTCTGGTTAACATTAAAGTTGTTTTTATTAAAATAAATAAATCTAAAAAATCTTAACCGAAACCTCCTAAAAGATTAACCAGACTCAGACTTTGACATTAAATACAATGCAAAATGTTATGTACAATGTAAATATTATGATTGTTAGGAGCAGGGAGGACAGGAAACCATAATTTCCTGACTTCTCTCTGTCTGGTATTGTCCTTAAGTACGTGATGAGGCTACTTAGGACATTTTTTAACTGTCAGGGTTGTTTCGTTTAGCTTACTTTTGAGTTTCTGTTCGGTCCTCACTGTTTTCTTTGTGACAGTCTCTACTTGCTTAATCAGTTGCTATAGTCATTAATTGAGTTCCCAAGTGTTGTGTGTTACTTTAATGATCTGAGTGTATTTAACCCCTCAAAGGTTTTCTTAGTTCTGTGTTCCGTGTCGTCTACTGTATGTAAAACGGGGTTGTGGTTTCCCTTGAGCTTCTTCTGTGTTCATCTGTGGATTATATTAATGACTTTTTCCTTTTGAGTTATTCGTCTTTGTGAGCTATTTTACTGCAGCTACGCGTGACAATAAATGACCTGTCTGTTGACTGGTCTGATAGCGAGGGGATTATTGAAGATGCCGAAGACAAAACGCTCCAATGTTTGGCTGCATTTCAAGTGTAAAATTACGCGTCAGAGCAAGTGTGCCGATTGTCTGAAGCCCATATAGAATCACGCCAATCCATTGATTGATGGCGCGGGCGCCGCCTTGACGCTCTTATGCCGTCATATTATATTAGCACGCTTTATCTGATTTTATTGTGCGAAATGATTTCCAGGCGATAGGGTAGAGTGGAGCTCAACTCTAGTCTACATTGATGGGCGGAGTAGTGGGAGTGGCCTGCGGAGCTGAGCATTGCAATGCACTATGGGGATTGTTGTCTACAATCCACAAGCACTAAAAAGTAATTTTCTGCCTTTTATCAGCCAAGATTCGGACACAAATGATACATTTATGATACTAGTATACTACATATATGACACACTTTCCATACACTGTAAAATCTAACATTGTTCTTACTAAGAATTTTATGTTAACTTTACTTAAAGTGCAATAATTTGTTGAATTTACTTAAAATTTCTTAGTAATCTGTACTGTTTGCATGTGTGCTTTCGTTACTCAGAAAAACCTTGTAAACATTACTTGACTGGTTTGAGTACCATTTTCAATGCATTCGCTCATTTTCCAGTCATCTTGAGTGTTATGGTCAATACACCTAAATATTTTTGGGAGAACATCAAAATTCTTTAGTTGACTTGTTGATTTCCCTTTCTCACCATTATTGTGATTGATGTTCCCTTTGGTTGGGCACTTGGAACTTAATTTATATTATGGTTCTCTTCCAATTGTTTGCAGTGATGCAACTTGAAATCATAATTATTTGATTTCAAAGGAAGTGAAGTAATTTATATATGTAAATATATACACAGACTTCAACATTCAGCATGCAAACCACAACAGTGGTAACATTTTAAAAAACTCATTTAATTAATTAGACATTAAAATTTTATTTGCTGTCTCTTCTCAGTATAACCCCTATATCGATAGCAAATAAAATTGTAATAAAGCCAAAAATAGTAAAATAAAGCAATACATTTATTCATGCCGCAATGCACTCTGGTAGTACACTTCCTCGGTTCACAGATACTGGAAAGTAAAAGATCAAATATAGTATAGAATTTATTTTAAGTTACTGGAACTCTCTTGTAAGTGTACACTACTAGGCATGCACTTAAGGACTACATATAATTCCTATTTCACTTTACTCAATTTTTTGAGTGCAATCGGTTTGCATGCTTTTTTCAAGTAAGGTGTACTAATTGGATTTT